AGTGATTTTGAAAACATGGGTGACCTTCGGTGCACATGAAAGCTATAAAAAAAGAAGGCTCCAAAAAAAAAAAAAAAAAGCCAAAAAATTGAAAATCATGAGGTCCCCAATTGAACAATATTATTAATTTCTGGCCTAACATACAATATTGATGACGATACATCTTGTCAAAGTGGAAATACATGAAGAATGAAGTGTAAGACAACATTTGGTGTGACAATGGAACGCCGATATAAATAAATACCTTTTCTTTGCACATGCAATTAATGACAAGGATTGGCCAATAGATAAGGAAGCAACCAAACATGGTGAATGTTGATCATCTAAAGATTGTACAAGTGGACAATTGAGAGATGCCCAAGACCGCGTTATTAACATGTTCTTGTTTTTTCATGTTTTTGTTTTGCTTTTTCTTTTTCGTTTGTTTTTTTTTTTTTTTTTTTTTTTTTTTTTTTTTTTTTTTTTCTTTTCTTATAATTAAACATTTATAGCAGTGTCTGAGCACAAGCAAGCTGTAAAACCGCGTTTTCGAGTCCCTTCTTTAAAGACGTCTCTTTAGCCTTTATTAGTTTTGGAAACGAACAGCGTCCGAATTGATGCTTTTGTTACAAATTATAAATATTATTCCTTTTTCTTTTCACTAAAGAAAATGACATCTTCTTTTCCATATTTTCAATTGATTCTTTTTTCTTTTTCTTCCTTTTGGTGAAATATTCTTGTGAGATCATGTGGGTTGAAACAATAATAATTATTATATTCTTGTTCTACTCACTTGGACATGCATGTTTATTATCTTTATTAATAGACGTCGGACTTCTGTCTTAAATTACTTAGGGTATGTTCATTTTATAATTTAAATTATAATTTGAATTATGATTTAAATTGTATATGTGAGAAAAAAATATTATAATAAAAAAGTTAAATTTAAATTTTTATAAGAGAAAATACTGTAACAATAAAATTTGAATTGTGAAATAAACAAGGTCTTAATTTTAAAGCTTATAAGCAACTGATCAACATTTGACTACTTTAAACCACGTTTCGTTCATAGACTTAAACAGAAATTCAATTTCTTTTTTTTAAAGCATTATAATAAAAATATTTGAATTGCAGGTTTAAATCTATCAACTAAACAACATTTAAGTAAAAAATAAAAAATAAAAAAGGTAGCTTGAGGAAATATTTACAGTCAATATTTAGATTTTAGAGGTAATTATTTGATACCTCTATAACAAATACGCATGCATAATTTCTACTCTTTAGCTTTTTTTTTTTTTTTTTTTTTTTTTTTTTAGGGGTGTACTATTTAGCTTCAACAACTCGCAACTTAATTAAATTGGTATTTTTTGTTACAATGTACATTTCAGCTTAAATGTATTTCATCATGAGCATTTTTCATTGTTCAAACCTGCATTGAAGATCGTTATAGAAAAAAGAATCTTCTTTGAAGCTGCATATATAGATATTATTGGTTATGATGTAAACCTCAGCATAACTGCATCTCATCATGAGCTTAATACTAATATCAAATCTTATTTATATTTTTTTTTGTTGTTGTTGGCTAAAGAGCTTCTTTTTATTTTTCGAAATCTTCATTAAAGCTACTTTGAAAGAAGTCCAATATTAAAGTCTATCTATTAGGGTTACTCAGTACTCCTCTTTTTTCTTCTACTCAATTAATCTTCATTAAAGTTCCTTACCAAAAAAAAAAAAAAATAGTTCATTATAGTAAAACAAAAAAAATAAAGATTTCTACTGTAGGATTTAAAAAAATCAACTATTAATGGGTCTTTATTTTTTTGCCGTTGTATTTATATAAAAACTATTTTTATATATATTTTTTATTTTAATGTGATTTAATTAAATTAAACAGTTAGAAATATGTAAGGTTGTTCATAAACCCGCAAAACCTGCATGCCCAACCCACCCCACCTCAACCCAATCCGAAAAATATAATTTTTAGTATTAAATTTTTTTTTCGGCCCATTCAATGTCTGACCCGAAGTTTTGGGACGGGGTGTGGGTTAAGCCTATAATGGCCCGCACACCCCAACCCAACTCGCGCTCTAACTTGCCTCCTTTAATATATAACCCTAGGTAGATAACTCATTTATACTTTCTAGTTTCTTCATGTTTGAATTAAACCTCTATATTTGCTTTATGTTAAGACTAATTTATGAGTGTAGACTAATTTATATTTGCTTTATGTTTGATGTTGGATGGACTATTTTCTTCATGTTTGATGTTGGATTGAACCTTAAATTTCTATCTATTTGAATATTGGAGTTACTATTTCTATTTGATGATGAACTTTAAATGTTGGATTGAACTTTGAGTTTTTGATTCTTTGAATGTTGAAACCGACCACCCAATTCACCCCGCACCGCTCCAACCCAACCTAAACATCATTGGGTTGTGAAATTTTTTTAACATTATTGAGGCTAAATATATGCAACCCACACCCTTTAAGACGGAGAAAAAAAAAGTCATGTTCCGCACCAATTCAACTCATGAACAACCCTAGAAATATGCGCTAAGTCCTGGTAAAAGGTCTTCCTGTAAAAGGGAAAAAAGAAAAAAGAAAAAGCAATAGTGTAACAGTGGCCTTTTGCTTTGGTGCACGAGCGTAAGAAAGAATGTGAATTAATTATGACTTCACTGAGTGCTGAATTATGTAGAAACTATAGGATTGGCCTTCAAATTGAAGAATAGGGAAAAGAGAAAAGAGAGGGACAGTGAGCATGGCCCTTGCCTTGCCATATTTTTTGTTCTTTGAAGGAACAACCGATCATGACACCCATATGGTCCTAACATATACATAGTAAAATCGACTAGCACAAATTTCGTAATTAATTCACGGCTGAAATGTTATTATTATAAAGGAAGATGATTGATGCTACTTGCATATTGAAAATATTGGAATATGCTAGGGTAGGACACGTTGTTTATCTCTACTGTTATTGGAGCAAATTTTTTAAGGCCCTGTTTATTTTACTGATTCGAGTTTAGAATTCGAGTTTTGATGCAGTAAAAAACTTCAGAAACAGTCATATCTAACTTTTGTACTACAGTAGAAAGCTCTCACATAAAATTACATCTCAACTCAAATTAAAAACTCGAATTAACGAACTAAACGGGCCCTAAGTCATTGGGTTAAATTTTAACATCTGTATACACTACTTTTAACGTGGTCATTCATTAATCAGACCATTAAAATTTAATCAAACAGCTGATAAAACTTGGTTTACTACCATATACAGAAAATATTTTTACTAAAAATTTATTTGATAACACCAAATTACATTATTTATTCATTAGTTAAATATTAGTAATGTGCGGTTATGATCACAAAATAAATAACAATTTCAATCAAATCAAATAAAAGAAGTACGTAAATCGACGAAATCTGGATTAAAATTTTACAGTTTAAAAACAGCCTTCATAGTTGGAGTATTTTTCTATCTTACCATAGAAAATTTTCTATTACTAAAGTTACAAAAAAAATACTAAACTGGCTTTGATAGAGGTACATATAACCCAATGTGGGGCTTAAATCCTATTTGAAAAAGGCAGTGAGTGGGTCTAAAATTAAACTCAAATCCTTGATGAGAATGTTAACATCAATTTTTTTGTTACTCTGTGTGTTTATTATTTGACATATTAACATTACTAATATAATATGTTATTATTATATAAAATAAATTGTATAAATTTTTCTTGCACTTTGTTACTTGTGTTAACATGCCTCCTAAACTTTAAAATGTGCATGTTGTGCCCTCTAGGCCTTGTCACTTGTGTTAACATGCCCCCTGAGGTTAACTGCGTTAAGTTTTTTTAATGAAAATGCTTATAAACACCATTTGAACTTTGTCACTTGTGTCATTATGCCTCTTAAACTTTAAAATGTACTTGTTTTGCACTCTGAACTATGATATGTCTCCAACTTTTCTCCCTCCATCTTGATTCTAACAGTTTTTCGAACAAAAATGTTGATATAACCATTAAATTGCTAATTATCTATGATATTTGACCATTAAAGTTTGTTAAGTTAATGAGTTTCTTAAGGTTGTGTTTTTTTATAAAAAAAAATGTACAATAAAATAATTAACCTGAACGCATTTAAATTTAGAAATGCTATATATGTACAAAGCATAAACATGTTATATGTTGAGCACTTCTATCAGGTGAAATATTAAGAAAAAAAACTAACAAAATTCATTACATTATACATATGTGCTCCTCATTTTTTTCCTCTGTATTGCCTCTAATCAACTAATGTTTTGAGAATTTGTGCTTAACTAATATTTTTAGAGGTGAATGTATTTAATAAATCTCAAATATCATAGATAATTAGCCATTTAATGATTATATCAACATTTCCGTTCAAAAAGCTGATAGAATCAAGATGGAGGGAAAAAAGTTAGAGACATATTATAGTTCACGGGACAAAACATGTACATTTTAAAGTTCAGATGATATATTGACACAAGTAACAAAGTTTAAGAAGCATTTATAAGCATTTTCGTTAAAAAAAACTTAACAAAGTTAACTTCAGGGGGTATGTTGATACAAATGACAAAGTTTAAAGGCACAACATGCACATTTTAAAGTTCAGGAGACATGTTGACACAAGTGATAAAGTTCATATTAAATTTATAAAATTTATCCTATTATTTAAACATAAAATAAGATAATAAAATTCACATGTCAAACATTAAATAAAAAAATAAGAAAAAAATAATGCTAACATTTTTCATCCCAACAGTCAAAGACCAGAGATCCATCTTTACACTTTGCATGTGAAATTGCATTTCTTGGTGAGAAGATATGAATCAAATTATTTCGATTAGTCCACAACATCTGACCGCCGACACATGGCATATGGACTTGAAAACTATATAATATATTAGACCCACGACCCCTCTTAAATTGCTTCACCTGCCCAACTAAATCACTTCCTCTTCACCCCCACCCCATCTTGCCTTAAATAGGCACCTCTCTCACAACTCTGACCCCTCACCACTGACTTTGCCCATATATTTCATTTCATAGTGTCACTTTTATATCACCATTCCCACTAGCTACTAATTAAGATAGATATCCCAATGGCTCTTGATCGTAATCAATGGCAGAAATATTTGTTGCTTTTGTTACTTGTTTTATTTTCTAGCTCTTTTGTGATTGTTAGCTCAGATGGGACTTCTGCTGATTTTCTCCAGCCAGAATGTTTGAAAGTGGCCAACTCCGAGTTTACCAGCTCTATCAAGGATTTAATAGACATTATTAGACAGGTCGCTTCTACTCTCTCCCAGTTCGCCAGCTTCTTCGGCGATTTTCGCCTTTCTAACGCCGTCTCCGATTGCCTTGATCTGCTTGACTCCTCCGCTGAGGTATATATATATATATATATTGTGTTTTAGTAATTTTTTGTTGAAGAAAGACAGATTTGGAAGATTTTTGGCTTGCGGGTCATGGCCATAATAATAGTGTTACTTCATAAAGCCCCGTAACCTCAAATGAAGTTTCCTTATTTTAGTTTATTTTTCCGTACTTTTTTAAGTTACGATCAAGTGTAGTATATTTTCTCATGCATTTTTTTTTTATTTTGTCTCGACAGGTAAACACAACAGTACGGGAAATCTAAGCGGTGATCTAAGGACATGGCTAAGCGCTGCGCTGATTAACCAAGACACGTGCAATGACGGATTTGAAGGCACCAACAGCATAGTCAAGGGACTAGTCACCGGTGGGCTTAACCAAATCACCTCCCTGGTCAAGGATCTCCTGACCCAAGTGAACCCAACTTCTGCGCTTTCAAAGACCAATCGCAAGGCCCAGTTTCCGTCATGGGTCAAGCCCAAGGCCAGGAAGCTTCTGGAAGGAAATAGGGTTTCTGCGGACGTTGTTGTGGCCCAAGATGGGAGTGGGAACTTCACAAAGGTGATGGACGCGGTGTTGGCAGCACCAGAGTATAGCATGAGAAGGTTTGTGATATATATAAAGAGAGGGGTTTACTATGAAAATGTGGAGATCAAGAAGAAGAGATGGAATATTATGATGGTTGGTGATGGTTTGGATGCCACAATTATCTCCGGCAACCGGAGCTTCGTCGACGGTTGGACCACATTTCGGACTGCAACTTTTGGTAAGCCCCCTTATCTTTTAGTAAATAAATGTCTTGTATAGTTGGAATTCTCTCTCGTTTTTTTATTCATTTGCTTCGCTTCGAAGATATTAAATATATATATAAAGAATGAGGAGCTTTATATGATAGGTCAAAATTAAAAAAATATACAGAAATTATGGTTTTTAATGCAAATTTGAGAGTATAAATAGAACACTGCTGATAAGAAGAATAATTACTAGAGATCTCAACTTTTATTTTTAATAATAAATGTTTAAAAAATATCACATTAATTAATATTGAAAGATATACTAATTTACCAGAAAAGGTAAGTATATTAATTAACCTAAGAAAATATCTTGATATTTTGCTTTTCCTATTTTTTTTTTTTCTTACTTCATAATATGTACGTGAATATAGCAATGCTATTTAGCTTTATTGGTTGCGCTCTATAAAGTGGGACCTAGATGTAGTGTGTCACATTAATCCAGATAATGGAACACTTTTCAAGTAAATATATTTATTTGATGAAGTACTAATGTATTAAATTCGTGCCTTTAATTGTGAAGATTTGGGCCAAGTTGAAATAGGTATTTATTGACGGTCCTTTTTCAGGAAATAGTATATGTGCATAATTAATTGAACATGGCTAATACTTATACCACCAGTGACTTGTCACAGCTTGATTCATGAGCATTGTGCAGTCACATAGACAAGTGGCAAAATGGATCGCTAACAGTGTTGCGTCAACAAATTTATGAGGATAGCTTTTTTGTTTTTTTTTTTTTTTTTTTTTTGTTTTGGTTGAAGATTTATGAGGTTAGCTAATAAGTCCAACAAAAATTATAGAACTACGTAATTTATTTATGGTAGCTCAGTATGCAGAGCGATTTTGCCGCATTTCTAATCTCCATATGCATGACTCCATTTTTAAGGCAAGAAAAGAAGACACTCCACGTTGGTTTGTTCGGGTTGTCTATTAGATCAGGAGCCAAATGCTACACTTTCGTGAGTTTATCATGAAATAGGAATTAAAAGTTACCATTTTTGGGTAAATCATTTTAAGAGAGTTCAAAGTTAAGTTGCTCATGACTTCTGTTATTATTTCTGCATTCCATATTAAGAAGGTTGGTAGGTTAGGCTTGTGTTATTTATCTCCAACTAGAACGTAGAAACTAGAAAGTGCATAGAGTCCAAAGAACCTCTTCTTCAGTGATCTATTTACTTGAGAAGGGATGCCGGTGCTTTGTAATTAATAACCAAAAAATTATATCCATGCAGTAACTTCTACTCTTTTTTTTTTTTTTTCAAACGATGATCCTTGAACTTTACATCAAATATACTTTGATTTATAACGTATAAAACGTTTTAAAACTGTTCGATTTATGTTGATATGGCAAAGTTAATTAGTCCTGTAATATCTATATTAAAATCTTGATAATATAGATCCCATGCCGCGTGTGTACCAGTCAAGTAAAACTTTCAATATCCTGTTCTTGATATTTTTCAGTGACTCACGTTCGGTTTTCTTGTCATTCTTTTGAGGGCAGCTGATGAAATGATTTGCTTTGTCACACCACGATAATCGTAGTCAATTTTGAAACATTTTAAACATCACGGACTCTTGATATTATTATTAAAAGCAAGCCCTTAATCAATCTAAACGTACGATTAAACGATAATATAATTTAAGAAACTTCTGTTATGTGATGAACCAAAAATAAATTTTTTTTAGAATTGACCCTTAATTGAATGTGAAAACTGATCAAGTTTCTTTTCCCATGCAGCCGTGAGCGGGCGAGGTTTCATAGCCCGGGACCTAACGATCGAGAACACGGCGGGGCCGGAGAAGCACCAGGCGGTGGCGCTCCGCTCCGACTCCGACCTCTCCGTCTTCTTCCGCTGCCGCTTCCGGGCCTACCAGGACACCCTCTACACCCACACCATGCGCCAGTTCTTCCGCGAGTGCCAGATCAGTGGCACCGTCGACTTCATCTTCGGCGACGCCACCGCCATCTTCCAGAACTGCCAGATCCTCGCCCGCAAGGGCCTCCCCAACCAGAAGAACACCATCACGGCCCAGGGCCGCAAGGACCCCAACGAGCCCACCGGCTTCTCCCTCCAGTTCTGCAACATCTCCGCCGACGCCGACCTCCGCGCCGCCGGCGTTAACTCCACGCAGACGTACCTCGGGCGGCCGTGGAAGCTCTACTCCCGGACGGTCGTTTTCCAGTCGTACATCACTGACGCCGTTCGGCCCGAGGGGTGGCTGGAGTGGAACGGCGATTTTGCGCTTGATTCGTTGTTTTACGGCGAGTTTATGAATTATGGGCCTGGATCGGGCCTCGGGAAACGGGTCAAGTGGCCCGGTTACCACGCGTTCAATGAGTCCAGTCAGGTTAATAACTACACGGTGGCTCAATTCATTGAAGGGAATCTGTGGTTGCCTTCTACTGGTGTTAGATACACCGCAGGGTTTGAGGTGTTGAGGAGGATCATTTGTGGGCTGTCTCTCTTTTTTTTTTGGTTAAATGTTTATAGATTATCAGCCACTAGAGAGTATAAGATATGGCAGAAATGTATACTATTTGTTACCTCTTCCACAATTTTTGGAAGTGTTGTATTAAGAAGTTAAGGCCCTGTTTCACAACTTAAATAAGAGCTCAAACTTTTTGTTATAATTTTTTTCTCATAAAAATTCAATGAATTCAACGTGGGGCAATGTTTTCTCTCACCTAACTTAAGTTCTCAATTCGAATCTTCGAAACAAAAGGGCGCTAAAATAACCTTAAGATCTTGTTGTTTGAGATTTTTATTAGGAAAAAATCAGAAATACCATTTAAATTTGTGAAAAATATTATTTACGTCACCAATTATCATTTAATTAATAAGAAAAAATAAAAGATCACAATAGCACTCAATTATTTAAAATGACATAAATAATAAATTTACACATAATTATGACAAACCGTGTACTTTTCTATTTTTATTCCTTCTAGAGAAGTTTGGACCAACTCTAGATGAGTGATTTGGAGTGAGTTAGAGAACTATTATTTTTATTTTTATTTTTATTTTTTTGGAAGGTTGACATTCCAATATATCATTTATGTGGGAGGATTTGCGGAATCCATTCTAAGGGCACATATAATGAAAAAGCGCATTTTGGTGGAATGTCCCAAAATAATGGAGTATCGAATTTGTGCCCCTCAAGTGGGCTGAACCAAGAGAACGGCACTAGAGGTTTCCAATTCCACTAGTGAGTGCATTAGATTTTGGTGGAATGTCCCAAAATAATGGAGTATCGAATTTTCTCTAATGAAAATGCCTCTTTATTAATTCACTTTTTAATTCTTTGTAATATAATTATACGAACAAAAAGCAAAATTTTATTGTGTCATGTGGAAATAGTATTTTCAAACCACCCAAAAAAAAGGGTGAAACAAATAAATAACTAGACTTTTAATTTACAAAAAGTGATTTGAAAATTAGACTTGGTAATGGTTGTTATGATCCCAGACGGATAAACTCAAGGCTCTTAGGTGTTAGACTTAGGCCTGAACTGAGACAAACAGAGGAGGCCAAGTCTCTAGCTTGTCCAGACTATATATCTATCCATTTTTTCGAAAAAAAAAGAAAGAAAAAAAAAAAAGGCAGAAAATTTATTATAGAACCTTCAAACAATTCTTTTCCCTGCAGAGCCTTGTGGGAATTCCTAAAAGTTGTTTGATTTGAAGAGCATAACAGTGTTCTAGTTTTGATTCAATCTTGTATTTGCACTACCTAATTTCAAGTTTGCTTTAACATTTTATCATCATTTATTCTTATGGACACTAAAATTTTTTAGAAATATTTTTTGTCTCCAAAAAAATATAGCCAAGATAAACAACATTATCGTTTACCATGTGTTTACCCAAGTAGTTACAGTAAATTAACCTTTTTTTCTCCAAATATATTTAACCCAAATAAGACCAATATGGAGTAAATATGGTTGAGAAAAGCTGGAAGCACACTTTAGTAAACATCAGACACTATTTCTAGCTCTTTCGTTTGGTTGGAGGATTCAAACCATGTGATTCGAACCATTTTCGATTTACGTGTATTTTTTGTGAGAGAAAATACTGTAACGAATCATGAATCATGAATCATGATTCGAATCAGGGAACGAATCCCTCTACCAAACATTGAAAACTTTCCGTAACAAAACAGTAGCACTTTTTTGGCTGGATTCGTGGCAATTATGTTGGTTTGTGATTTTTAGGCATTAGAAAGGTGACCAATGAAACCTGTGACGCCCATAAAAGTCAGTCAAGTGGGCTAAACCCGACAAAAACAAGCCACAAAAGGATTCTTGGACATGTGAAATCCTTGGTAGATGCTGGGAACTAATAAATAAAATAATTAGTGCTCCAAATTTTGACTCTTTCTTTCTCACGGATACAAATTAGTCAAGTTGCTAAATTACGCGTTTTTTTTGCCCCCCCTTTGCAAATCCTCAACTCACTATCAATTGAGCTCTCATTTTCCAAGCGGTCTTGGAAAAATTAGAGCATTAGAATTTTCTTCTTGAGATACTTTTGTACTGAAATCCATGTCAAGTTCAAATTAGGGTCTCTGAACCGACGCATAATCCAAAAGTTGATTTCGGCAACTAGTATCTTACTCCACGAGGTCCTGTCTAATTTCAAACTTCAATTTTTAAATATCTGACAGAAATATCGGGCACAGAACCTCCTCCCATTCCCTCCCGTATATCTTGATAACACGAAATTCTGTATATGGACAAAACATTAATTCTGATTGAGAATTTGAATTTAAATTTTTCTCAAACGCTAAATCTAGTCAAAATCATATTAATATAGTAAAATATAAAAAATAAAAAATAAAAAAAAAAAACTAACAGAACCTAACACAAATTCAGCGCTTTAAGGCAAAGTTGCGATCGGCTATTTTTATACCCTAATCTCATTTTTTATACCCCTTCTTCCAATAATTCCCGTGGGGAAGAAAAAAAAAAGAAAAGGAAAAAAAAAGGACATGTATACAGTGATTGTCATTATTATTTCGTTATTTTCAAAGTAGGGCATCATAAGAATCTGTGTGGCACATTCATTAAAGTAAGAAAATCCATGCAAGTTACGTTCCGGAAGATATTATTTATGAAACCCCAATATATGGACCCTATTCCCTTCTCTATATGTGCTGTTGAATACTGCTACCTCTCATGGCTTCCTTCATTCCAAAACCGCTTCTGCTTTTCTCCATAATACTACTAATCTTTTGCACAAGCACTTCTTCTGCTCTTCAAAACCATTCATCTTCCTCCACAAACACTTCAATGGATGCCCATTTGTCTTCCATTAGATCAATCTGCAAGACAACTCCATATCCGGAAGCTTGCTTTGATTCACTAAAGCTCTCTATTTCCATAAATATCAGCCCCAACATCCTCACCTACCTCCTCCAAGCCCTACAAAGCGCAATATCCGAAGCCGGAAAACTCTCCGGCCTTTTATCAACCGCCGGACAGGGAAACAACATAGTTGAGAAACAAAGGGGAGCAATCAAAGACTGCAAGGACCTCCACCAAATCACGGTGACATCTTTACAGAGAACGGTTTCTCGAATCAAATCGGCGAATTCGCGGAAAATAGACGACGCGAGGGCTTATCTCAGCGCGGCTCTCACCAACAAGAACACGTGCTTGGAAGGCCTAGATTCGGCTTCCGGTCCTCTGAAGCCGACCCTAGTGAATTCTTTAACTGGTACATACAAGCACGTGAGCAATTCACTCTCCATGCTCTCCAAACCGGGTGCCCCACAAGGGCGTAACAACCGGCGGCTCATGGCGTTTCCGCCGTGGCTTTCGAGGAAATCTCGGCGGATCTTGCAGAGCTCCGGCGACGAATACGACCCCAGCGAAGTGCTCACCGTGGCGCAAGACGGGACAGGGAACTTCACCACCATCACGGACGCCGTAAATTTTGCTCCGAATAACAGCTATGACAGAGTGATTATCAATGTGAAACAAGGGGTTTATGAGGAGAACGTGGAGATCCCAAGCAACAAGCCCAACATTGTTATCCTAGGAGATGGAAGCAACGTTACCGTTATTACCGGTAACAGAAGTGTCGGTGGTGGATGGACCACTTTCAGATCTGCTACTCTTGGTAAACCACCTAAAAACACTTGCACTTTTAGCTTTCTTCTTTGAGGCTTTTTATTAAACACGTTCCGCGCAATCTTTTCTCACCTAAAAAAACACTCAACTTTTCAGCGGTTTCCGGAGAAGGCTTCTTAGCCCGAGATATAACTGTCGAAAACAGCGCAGGCCCAAAAAACCAGCAAGCCGTGGCTCTCCGGGTCAACGCGGACTTCGCCGCAATGTACAGGTGCACATTCAACGGCAACCAAGACACGCTCTACGTCCACTCCTTCCGCCAATTCTACCGCGAATGCGACATCTACGGGACCATCGACTTCATCTTCGGCAACGCGGCGGTGATATTCCAAGCCTCCGACATCGTCTCCACAATGCCGATGCCGGGGCAATTCACCGTCGTGACGGCACAATCCCGTGACACCCCGGACGAGGACACGGGAATTTCAATACAGAACTGCTCGATCCTGGCTACGGACGAGCTATATGCCAACGCAGGCAGCGTCAAGAGCTACCTGGGTAGGCCGTGGAGAGTGTACTCAAGGACGGTGGTTTTGGAGTCTTATGTTGACGACTTCATTGAGCCGTCTGGGTGGACAAAGTGGTCCGGAGATGAGGGATTGGACACTTTGTACTATGGGGAGTACAACAACTATGGGCCCGGTTCGAGCACGGAGAATAGAGTCGATTGGTTGGGTTATCACGTCATGGATTACAGTGATGCGTCGAATTTTACTGCGTCGGAGTTTATCACTGGGTATGCTTGGTTGGAGTCCACTTCTTTTCCTTATGATGATGGGATTTAGGGCTCGTTCTGTAGAGCTCTCAATGAGAAATTTGCTAGATGAGTGTAAAAAAAATGCTTGGAACCATATCGATTCAAATCTGCAAAACTCAAGGGGGGGAGAAGATTCTCATTTTTAGGTTTGGGATGGTTTTAAATGTAGTCTCGATCTAAATATGTTTTTTAGAGTCTCAAATGAATATATTATTGAGCCTGTAAGTTCAAACTCGCAGAACCTCTTACCAAACATAGCTTTAAAGTTACGTACTTTTTGAATAAATGCTAAGTTAGGTGAGGTTTGTTTTCACCGATTGTGTGTAAAATGTAAGCCCTTTGTAATAATTGTGAGGATCCGAAGATGGCATGTGAATATTGATTGGTTATATGGATAAAAGAGTTACTTTTCACATTTAAGAAGATAATCATGGTTTTGATCAAATTTAACTGTGAAAATTACGCACGCTATTTATATAAAATTCTACTGTACAAAGATCCTATCTTTTTAGTATTATTCTCATGTAAGTAATTACCTTAGTTGTGTTGTGATTATCAAAATAAAATAGTAATGATTTATGATAATTTCCTTACTTTAATAGAAAAAATCTGATAAAACTATCATATCATGATATTCACGAAATAATTGTAGTACTACATAAAAAAGTTCCATAGATATTTGAATTGTCATACATGTACAGCAGCCGCATTAAAGTTTTGGATTTCTGGAAAAGTAAAATTTAGAAAATTTTTTATTAGAAAACTTTAGTGTATGATTAATAACAAAATCAAATGAAAATAGATTTTTTATACGTAAAATTAAAATATAATTTATCATATATCAATGAATATGTATAGTGGTTCTATGAAGAGTTAAAAAAATCTTTTATGCCACAACAGTCCAATTTTTAATGGGTTTGTTCGTAAAACGCCAAGAATTGTTGTATATCTTCAGAATTATTTGTCGGAGATGCTTCAAGGCTAAACATCAAAGAAGCATGTATTGCTCCTTAGTTTATCCAAGTCATTGTGTTATTGTCGGTCGATGGCATGCAGCGGAACATGAGTAAACAGACAATCCACGTGGCTTGTGGAAGGCCCCTTCTGATCTCTCTTAATACTTTGTACAGTGCCGGAGCCAAATTTTTTTTAGGCGGAGCGTAAATCAAACCAACAATTTAAACTAAACTTTGCGATATAAAAGTCATTTTACCTTCATTTATCTATCTATATTTTAATGTTTTCCCTTAATAACTAAACTTGTAATGGGGTTTAATATTAATTTTTAGCGTTTAGAGTTCAAATTGTGTGAATATTATAGTAGTATAGTTGATTTTTTATTTATTAGAAATTTTAAATTTGAAATAAATATTTAAAAAATGAAAATTTGGGTTATAATTGAAATTTTTCTGACAATTCTATGTACACATTGCAACATGTATGATATAATCTCTGTCGGTGGGATGGTTTATTGTTAATTAAAGATTTAACATTGAATAAGATGCGCATATGCTACAGTTGGTGATATATATATAGTTGTATCTAGTAGACAGAATAGTTACTATTGATCTTCTTTTTGGATAACCTCCATGTGCGCTCAGGATATATAGATATTAGATATCTCACATTACGTAAAATATTGTTGAAATTATTCAGTTTGAGTATCAAATCGCAATTGAAACACGACTTTTTCTTTTGGATGGAACATAATTACTTGGAACTTGCAACATGTAGCTTACCTGAGCTCTTCTTTCAAGATTTTTGAAGGTAATTAAGAGAAGAATAGAGAAAATTGTTCGTGCATAAGTTTAGATTTTTATCTTTTATTTTTATTTAATACCTATTAAACAAGAGTTGTCTCCTTTTCCCCCAAAGAATACCTTTAAAGTTATCACTGTTTTATTGCAATGAGAGAATAAGGGCTCTTTATACAATAAATGACATCTGAACACGACATGTCATTTCCCTTTGGATGGAAACGGCGTATCGTTTACCTGATGTATCTTTTTCTCTTTCGCAAAAACGACGTTGCATGAGGATTAGCATGTGTTTTATTTTAAAATTACACGTCATTTGATAAAATTCGAAATAGAAATGATTTTATGTTCTATCATTATTTATATTTTAAAATTACACGTCATTTGATAAAATTCGAAATAGAAATGATTTTATGTTCTATCATTATTTATATCTCCTATTTGATTTTGGAATGTCGTAACTATCGTATGTTTGCTTTCATCTTAGGTCCAAATATCTACAAAAATAACCAACAAAGAAAACGGCACAAAGTTTCTCAGATGTCGTTTTTCAACATGCGAACGACATATTTATTGGATTAATGAACGGTAACACTAGTAAATTATCGTTTCAGTTATCCAGAAGGAAACATTTCTTTGTTGCACAATAAACGAGTCAATGACACATGTATTTTCAAAAGACAGCGTGTGTTGTTTTCCTTTGCGAGAGAAACGTATGAGCTACAACTGTTTCCTTCAAAGCTAAACGACAATTCGTTTTCTTTGGGAAGGAAATGTGGTTATAAGATATTCGATGAAAACCACGTAGAAATGAATATTTATTTGTCCTATGTGTGTATATATATACGTACCTATATTCCATAATATTGACACCTTTCTTGAAAAAAAAAAAACGACTGGTTTAGTTGGTTTTAGCTTAATCACATCCTCACAAAACACAACACAACTTTACCTGCCTTTGTTATAAATTGAGTAATTTCAATATTAAGGTCTCGTTCATTTCACCGATTTGAATTTAGAATTCGAGTTTTGCTACAGTAAAAAGTTCTCAGAAACAATCACATCTAACTTTTTGCTACAGTAAAAAGCTCTTATATAAAATCACATTTCAACTCAAATTAAAAATTCAAAATAACCATTTTTCTTCAAAAAAAAAAAAAAAAAACAAACAAACAAACAAAATAACTATATATATTAGCACGCATCTTTGGTACTTAGGGTAAATTCGTAATTTTACGCAAATCTCAAGGATGCGCGGGAAATATGGTTTTAGCTAGAAGGAACAGAAAGGAAGTACATAACTAACTTTTAAAATAGAAAACCTGAAAAACCTCCCGTCCAGACCCGTTTTTATCAAATTGGCCAAAATAAACAAGACATCAAACTACTTTATGAACCCAACAACAAAGAGAAAACAAATAGAGAGAAATTTGAAGGAAATTAAAGCATTTTCTTTTTCTTCTGTTGCTCTTTCTCACCGTCTCTCTCTCTCCCTCCCCCTCTCTGGGTTGAAATCTAAGGCAGAGGAGGGCTTATCTGCCTTAGCCGTTCTCTTTTAAAAATGGCGTTTCAAGATTTCGACGAAATCACGGAACGCCGAAGAGCCGCGAAAGAGCAGAAGTTCAAGAGGAGGGTACTCACCATCAGCATCGTCTCCGGCGTCGCCCTCCTCGCCCTTATCGGGGCGGGATTCTTCGCCCTCGTCTCGCATGCGGAGCGCCACGGCCAATTAGATGCCGCCACCGCCACCGCAGCCGCTGTTCCGCCCGGTAACACAGACTCCCAAGCCCACAAGATCGTCAAGGTCATATGCAACGCCACGGATTACCGGGAGAAGTGCGAGGTCGCCCTGCGGAACCAGACCGCTGCCTCGCCAAGGGATTTACTCAAGGCGGCGATCGTCGCCGCGAAGGACGAGCTCCGCAGGGACTTCAACAAGACGAGCTCGCTCAAGTTCAACAGCCCTCAAGAAAAAGCCGCGTACGAGGACTGCGAGGGCTTGGTGGAAGACGCCTTGGATGAGCTCGACGCCTCCGTTTCCACCGTCGGAAACAACTCTCCGGGGACTCTTTCGACGAAAACCCCCGACCTTAATAGCTGGTTGAGCGCCGTCATATCCTACCAGCAGACCTGCGTCGATGGATTTCCGGAGGGATCAAAATTGAAGGCCGATTTGGCCAGACTATTCAAGGCCTCTAAGGAGTTCACCAGCAACTCGCTCGCGCTGGTTACCGAGATCTCCTCGCTTCTTTCGGCGTTCCAGTTGTCGGGTGCAACAGAATTAACGGCCCGTCACCTGGCGGAAATAGCGGCGGCGCCCTCGCCCGCAAGAGAGCCGACACCGGTATCGAACGGTCCGTCTTTGGATGATTACGGATTCCCGGACTGGATGGAAGAAGATGATCGGAGAATGCTTAAGGTGGACTACGATAAGCTAACGCCGAACGTGACGGTGGCTAAGGACGGCAGCGGGCAGTTCACGACGATCAACGAAGCTATTGTAGCCATTCCCGCGAAATACGACGGACGGTATGCATATGTGGTGTCTTTTTTTTTCTTTTTTTTTTTTTGGGAAAATATCATTTTGAGGTCTATAGTTTAGCAGTTTATCATATTAGTATATACATGGATGTTTCAATAATGTCATTTAGCTATCTCATAATTTTTTTTAAAAAAATTGCTATCTTGGTCGATTAAATCCGTTTTTTGGAACATAAAAAGTATTCTTAATCCTTTTAGTCTAAAAACAAATTAAAAATACTTTTTTTGAAAAATAAAATGCTTAACCGAAAAAAATTAAAATTCCCCATATCCCAATGATAGAATTTTTAGTGTTTTTCTTTTTCTAAAAAAAAAAAAAAATTAGACTCAAAATTGTCATTTTACGTCTAAAAAAAAATGAAACTTGGAGTATAAATATGATATTTTCTTGAATAACAATAAGTTACCCCCAATGAAAATATTTCAACATGAGAGTACCAATTTAATAAAGTGTTAAACTACATAATGTGAGACATTAAAATAATAATAAAAATAACGATAATAATATGAGAATGATTTTTTTCTTTTTTTTTTCCCTAAGTAAATAATTCAAGGTAACATGATCAATATGTGTTGAATCGATCTTTTATTGATTAATGTTGCTTGACATGGCGTTAATGCAGGTATGTGATCTATGTGAAAGAAGGAATTTACGAGGAGACTGTGATCGTGACGAAAAAGATGTTAAATGTCACCATGTATGGTGATGGGTCACAAAAGAGTATTATCACCGGAAGCAAAAATTTTGTAGATGGAGTTAGGACGTTCCAAACTGCTACATTTGGTAATTTGCTGGCCCTGCATGACATAACTGCTAACAAAATATGGATATTTGGCTCTTTTCTTTTATGACATATTTGGCTTTTTGAAAGTTTGGAAAACTAATAAAACATTGAAAATAATTTAATATGCGATTTGTAAAGAGCAAGAAATATACACATATATAGTATATTCTTGAAATTTTTAAAATGCAGCGTAATATGTCGTTAAAACAATAGGGAAACTTTTGTCGCTCATCCTATCTGTTATTTATCACATGAACGTAGAAGAATTATTCTCTTTTCGAATAGTTATTAGAGAGTTTTTTTTTCGCCGTTTTAGATCGAGGTTGTAATGAGTCATTTTCTTACACAGCCAAATTGATAATTTATTTGGTAATTAAGCAAAGGAGTACATAACTAGTTTCTTTTTTTTTTTTTTTTTTGCTAGAATACATAACTAGTTACTTAATTCATATACTTAAGCCTCGTTTATTTTATTGATTCAAGTTTAAAATTTGAGTTTTATTACAGTTAAAAACAGTCACATCTAACTTTTTTGTTACAGTAAAAAACTCTCACATAAAGTCACATCTCAACTCGGATTATAAACTCGAATCAACGAACTAAACAGGCTTTTAATTTCCTAATTGCAGTTGCTCAAGGAGACGGTTTCATCGGCAGAGCAATGGGATTCCGGAACACGGCAGGCCCCGAGAAGCACCAAGCAGTGGCGGCCCGCATCCAGTCCGACCGCGCCATCTTCGTCAACTGCCGGTTCGAGGGATACCAGGACACTCTCTACGCGCAGGCCCACCGCCAGTTCTACCGCAGCTGCGTCATCGCCGGCACGGTCGACTTCATCTTCGGCGACGCCGCCTCCGTCTTCCAGAACTGCATGATCGTGGTGCGGAAGCCGCTCGACAACCAGCAGAACATCGTCACGGCGCAGGGCCGCACCGACAAGCAGCAGACGACGGGCATCGTCCTCCACAACTGCCGCATCCTCGCCGACCGCAAGCTCGAGCCCGTCAAGGACCGCATTAGGAGCTACCTCGGAAGGCCCTGGAAGGAATACTCCAGAACCATTGTGATGGAGTCCACAATACATGATGTTATTCACCCCGATGGGTGGTTGCCGTGGCAAGGAGACTTTGCGCTCAACACTCTCTACTACGCGGAATATAACAACAAAGGACCCGGCGCTAAGGTTGATAAAAGAGTTCATTGGCCTGGCTATAAGAGCGTCATTACTAGAGAAGAGGCTTTGCAATATACGGTGCAGAATTTCTTGCAAGGGGATTGGGTAACTGTCAAAGGTGTTCCTGTTCGTGACACCCTTTATGAATAAAAAGAGATTTAACTTTTGTGGATTTGGGCTTGGGGGGGTTTTATTCAGAGATCGTGTGTTTTTGAAACTGAAGGCTAATGAGAGTTCAGGGTTTTTCAGTTGAAGTTGTGCGACATAAGAGAGTTATTATTAGCCTTGAAATATAAATGATTTTATTGTGTAATCTATCAACTAGGGATTCATATTTTGTCTAATTTTTAATGTCTCAGTTAGTATCTATCCAATCAAGTCATACCACGTCATTCCACAATAAGCATAAAAGAGTTAGTTAAAAAGAAGTCTAAATTTTTTATACGACGCAGTATCATATGATTGGTTAGATATTAATTGAGACACTAAAATTAAACAAAAATTGAGTCCAACAAGTAGAAAGGTAAAGTTCAGTTCATCAATTAAGTTTATGAATTGGGTATGTTTGTCCAAAAAGGCTATCATGCAGAACAAGTTTAGTTGTCTGTTTTTGCATATTATTATGTAATCAACTGATGTGGGAATAGTACTCTAATATAGTCCATAGTAGTTTGCATTACTTAACTTTGATAAATTCAGCGGATCCACATTGGTCCGGGCCCCAATGTCATTAGAATTTCCATCAATTACAATTTTTGTCCCATCCCTCTAAAATGTTTAATTTCAAGGTTTACACTGAATCTTTTTAAAATTAATATCCATACTTCCAAGTTTTTACTTCTTTTTTTTCTTTTCTTTTTAATAACGTGTTCATTGATTTACCTATAAATTTATTGTCGTTTTTTAGTTTATTGTCGCTTCTCACTTCTCCGCTTGTGTAGTTTCTCCCATGTTTTGTTTTTTTTTATTCTCATTTTTAGCCTGTGCCTTTTCTCCTGTACATATCATTTATTTCGTTTATTGTTGTTTTTCTGTAACTTTATAGTTCTTTTTCAATTATATAAATTATTGTCGTTTTTCCCAAAGATGTCGTTTGTGTAACTTATTGTCGGCTTCTTTATATGATGTCATTTATTGAACTTATTTAAAGTTCTTGTCGGTTTTGGGGAACAGTTATGTGTTCGTTTGATGTCGTTTATCTCTTTATTGTCTTTTACACTATTCATGTCGTCTTTACTATATATTGTCGTTTGTTCATTTTTTTTAATGACATTATTGTCGTTTCTGATATTCATGTCGGTCAGTCACTTGATTGTCTTCTTTTCTTTCTTTCTCGTTTCATCATCCCTTCTCCATTTGTCGTTTATTATTTTCATTTCTTTTGTTGGTTATGGTTCTTTCTTGATTCTTATGTCGAATTTCATGTCGTTTTTAAGCTTCTCCTGCGGAAGGTGTGGGATTTAGTTGATCTTGACCGTGTCAACGGGCGGAGAAAAGATTCCGTAGTAAATGTGTCTTGGGGAAATAAAAAATAATAATACGCCAAGCACCAAAATCCAAATGATTCACGTGAAACCATAAAAGATATATATATCATTTATTTATGTACACAAATATGCTTGCCCTAATGTAGAGATCTGTCTTCAGTATTAACCTCACACATTGATCACGCCCATTCTATACAAACAGAAAAGTGGGGTTCGGTGAAAAATACTAAAAAACTTTAACACTTTTCAGAAAAATGCAACAACATAAAAACAATGTTTGGTGATAATCGACGACTGATAATAATCAGCTGCTTGGATTTCTCATCCCTAGCCGGCCAAAACTTTTTCCTTTTAACAGTACAAAAAAATGAATTTCCATCTTCAATAATCATTCTCATACACAAAAAAGAGAAAAGAGCTTGAGAGTTAATAATGGCTTCATCATCCAAAGCTTTTAACCAAGCATTTGTCCTAACAATATTCTTGGTCGCTTGTTTTGCTTTCACAGGTACAACTCATTCAACGTTAAACGACAACATAGAAAACGAAGATTTGGTTTCCTCAACGTGCAAGAAAACCCTTTACGTTCAACTTTGCATATCTTCTTTAAGATCCGATCCTCGAAGCGGAAGCTCCGATCTCAAAGGCCTCGCGGCTATCGCATTGAATCTGAGTATAGCAAAAGGAGTTGACAATTTATCTTATATAAAAAATCTAAAGTCTGAATTTGCTTCTAATGGTTCTCAAATGACGTTCAGTTACCTCAGCGATTGCCTAGATGTATACTCGGACGCTATCCAAAACTTGCAGGACTCCGTTCAAGCTCTAAACGACAAGTCGTATGACACGCTGCGATCTTTGGTTTCTGCGGCAATGACGGATTCCGAGACGTGTGAAGACGGTTTCAAGGAGGTGAAGGGCTTTAGATCTCCTTTGACTGAGCAAAACAAGTACTTCTCTCGGTTGTGTAGTAACTTTCTAGCAATAACAACTCTTGATTGATTTGGTTTACTTTGTTGTACACTATATAGTACTAGTACCCCTGCATTTTTTTTCCTCCTTTTTTCTTTTTTTCTTTTCTTTAGGTTTGAATTCAATCATCGTTAACAATCTCTAGACTAAGAAAAAAAAAAAAAACTTTCTTTAAATTATGGCTTTGAATGTTAGAAGATCTAGTGAGGCGCTTGATATCATCATTTAGTTATAATGTTACTTGTGTGAGAAGGACATGTCCGTTTTCATTAGGATGAATAAAGAGGGATTTTGAAGCCCATGAAAGTTTTCCCCTCTTCTCACAATAATTAATATAGCCGGGCTACTTACTTGTAAAGTATTTGAATTCTGTGGATCTAATAAAAGCCATAATTAATATCCTTAAAGAGGACAATAATTAGTAAATTAGAAAAAAGAGGAAAAAGAAAAAGAAATCACTTATAGTTATATTATATATATATATATATATATCTCCTCTGTTCTAATTGAGAATAATTTACCAATTTTATCCCATATATCACGTCATTCTTTAATATGTTATCATTTCAATTTCCACTTAATGAGTTGGGAGAGGAATATTAGATGACATAAAGTAATCTCTTGACTCTTGAAGCACATGCACCTTTCACTTCACGTGCGGGACCTATATTGCATTTTCTTTTTGGCAGTGACAGGAGTAGTAATCATTTTTTTTTGGAGAAAATAATTGCTCAATATAAATGATGAGATATTAGAAATACAGAATGAACATCATTTACAAACATATATATATTAATAATTTAATACCGTTATTATGTTTAACGTGAATACCAACATCTAGATTTATTGTGTGTTCATTTGCACAATTTAAGTCAGAATTATGTATGTAAAAGAAAAATACTATAGTAAAAAAATTAAATTTGAATTTATGTGAAAGAAAACATATAGTAATATGAATTAAGATCTTAATTTGTAGAATAAATTTATCTCATTAGACATTAGGCATTTCAACATTAAGTTGTAAATAAGTAATTTAGATTTAACTTCTCTTTCAATAAGCTCAAAATATTGATCGTGGATTGATTAAGCGATAAACAAACTATGTAACTTTTTTATTTTCTTTTGTTAAGAAAGTAATCCGTATATCGAAAATTTCTCAAAACATGTACCATAAAATAAAAGATTAACTTGAAAATGGCAAAACAAAAGAGTTAGAAATTGTTGGGGAGATACCACATACGAAACTAGCCCAATACATTTTAGGAGTCTAACTTGACCCAAAAAGTCAACTTATTAGGTCTTAGATCTTTCCATATATATAAATCACTTCACATTCTCATCCACTTTTCATGTGGGACAATACACACATGTACTTTTCTCAACAATCTCCTCCTCATGTGTGTGTTCACTGAGCACCTACGGGAACACCAATTGGAGGCAACGTGTGAACTGCAACCAAGTGTGATTGCTTGACCCATATGAACCATCGGCTTTGATACCACTTGTTGGGGAGATACCACATACGAAACTAGCCCAACACACTTCAAGAGCTCAACTTGACTCAAAAGGTTAACTTATTAGGTCTTGAGTCCTTCCATGTATATAAACCACTTCACATTCTCATCCACTTTCCACGTAGGACAACAGACATGCACTTTTTTCAACATAAATAGATTAGTAATTTTACTCTTACGGTCCTATATAGAACCCATAAATTTTTTCAGTGCATATATGTAAGGATATAAGGGCGATTATATTGATGAAATTTTTCATAGCACATATATAATCAAAAGTCAAGAAATTGTTTCTGGGCCATATTTCGATCTTTCACACTGTATATATAATAAGTTTATATGTGTATGTATGATATGTGTCTATACGTACATATATTTAATTTGTATGATAGATAAGGCTTAGAACCAAAACTTTAATAACTTCCGGGGGAGAAAACTTGTTAATTAGCATGTATATAGACAATATATATATATATAATATAATGCAATGTGCAGTTGCATTCGAAACGATAGATCTCTTAGAAAGAAGGCCATGCGTGTTGATGATATGACTTTTCCCATTTAGTTATAAAGTATGGAATGCAATTACTTTTCCATGCATTTTCTCCATCATCAACATGTGCCAATGTTCCCAGTGAACAGCCAATAGAGCCGAGACATGGCAATCCAACTTGGCTCAAGATCATGCGCTTGTGGCTACTCTATTACGCATTAAGCCACAATAATCATTTGAAAACGCTATCCACCACGTACAAATGAACTTTCACCACGTGTAAAGTCCATGTGTATTTGCTCTTTGTTATTTTCTTTTTTTTTTTTTTTTTTTTTTTTTTTTTTTTTTTTTTTTGGCTTTTAAAAAGTCTGGAAGCGGATGGTCAACGTATAGCATACTTTTTATTGGTCTTACATAAAGGGGTTCGGAATGATCGTTGAAAATGCTAGTGTTAGGTCCTATTTTACAACAAAGAGCGCATCACCACAGCCCCATCAAATATGATAGAGGTAAGATATATATACGGGGGCATGATTTTAGACATTCTATTAAGTTTATATTGGCTGCAGATGTAAACCTTCATATTTAATAGCTTTATAAAAAAAAATACGGTAGTTCCTTATTATTAGGCTAACTCACTCGGTGGTTCTTGATTACTTTCTAACTCGACTACAAGATGATTTACAAACTTATCATGGTCATCATATATGTATTTGGATTACTAGACCCATATTGGACATTCTTTTTTTTTTTTTTTTTTTTTGGCTGAATATAAAGTCCTAAGAGGACATTCTTGAAACAACCAGATTGAGTGAGAGCAATTATTTTGCCGAGGATTATGATGTACGGTTGGTAACAAGCTTCAATAGTGTACTTCATCTTTCTCAATGTTTTCTGTCGGATGGTGGTTTTACGTTTTGTCTATTTTATAGTCTAGAGTGTACCCGGTGGTTGAGTTCGGTTTAGTGGCCAACTAATTTTTGGCCCTTAATTAAAAACTTGTATTTTAGGATTTTGGCATACCGCTCATTATGAATATACAGCTCTAGATCAAGCCTAAAAATTAGTACCAGTCAATCGACCTTCCCAAAAGAGGGAGAATTTTTCCTTGTCAGAATTGGTTTTCTTTGTTTATGCTAAAATAACACTATTAATGAGGAATGCGCATTATTGAGCTAGCATTGAGCAACGTAAGTATTACTTGAATTCTTTTTTTTAAGTTTAATTAATGAGAAATTGTTTTGGCCAAAAAAAAAAAAAAAAAAAAAAAAAAAAAAAAAAAAGAAGAAGAAGAAGAAGAGAAGAATATAATATTGATCGGTTCATGTTTTTCACGGATATCACAATATAAAATTAAAGGCATGTCATACCTTGCACAAACCCATGAGGATATACACGGCGGATGAGACTCACTTTTTAGCCAAAGGTGGCAATCATATTAATTATACCTTCATTGGCTAGCGATCTTTCTAATATTTTGCTAGAAGGGTGTCCAATACTTCTTTTTTCTTGATTCCATCTACTTTTTTCTAGTTGGTCTTGTTTTCTTTCATGATTTTGTTTTCTTGACGTAATCCCTTTTGGACCACTTCAGCTATTGTTGCATATCTCAATCGAATTGATGAAACTTTAAATCAAAATTGGATCTTATAGAGTGTAAAGTAGTGTTGGCACTTTGCAGTCTTCTAAGACTTTTATTGATTTCATAATGTTGCATCTACTCATGATCTACGTACTAGTTATTTCCTCAAAGATTACTATTTAGAAAAGATGAAAATGTAGACCTTCCATGTGTATACTAGAAATATATTTCATGGCATACCCTCTTTTGTGTTTTTCCACTTTGTCTTCTACCTATTTGTTTTAGATCCCTCACTAGACAATTACATCCATGATCCAGCATCAACACAATTTACGATATGTTAATTATTGGTCCTTACCATCCTTTTCAAATTTATTTCAGCAGTGAAAATTGGAAATTTTCATTTTAGTACGGTTTTTAGGGAGATGAGAGTTGCTTAATTAATGAGGATCTTATAATTAACGGCATTAGGTTATCCTTTAGTATAATAGGTTTAATTCGCTTTGTGGGTTCGAATTAAATGGTTTTGAACTTTTTTGGTTTCGATCGGTGGTTTAGAACTTTTGTGGTTTAAATTGCAGTCCAAAGAGGTGTTTCATAGTGTAAAATCTGGCAGATAATAAAGTATGAACTGGATGGTTACATCAATTTTACCTGTTTTTATTATAAAAAAAAAAAAAAATAGTATGTGGATGGTTTTTATTATACATTTTGAGTTCAAATCAGAGAGGATTAAGTTTCTCAAAAAAAACCGTCAAGGATGGGTTCTCAAGCCACAAAAATGAACCAAATGTTTCAAACTAATTAATGGTTCAAAACCAAATGACTCCTTGAACGATGGCCTTGATCATAATTTATTAAATATTGAACAGCTTATCTTGTCAGAATATTGCATGAGAGAATTTAAGACGTGTATATATATACCTGAATGGTCTAAATGTAGATTTGGACTTATTTTATTTTCTCTATACTATACATAGCACGCGGATCTAGATCTATTGAGAGTAGTTGATTATCTTTTTCCGTATGCATAATGTACAAATTATACGGGCTGCCACCTATGCATAGTGCCAGAAGTCAAGTTGGATTAAAGGACCAACAGACTTATAATTAAGCGTGGCTTTGATATGGACTTTTGAGCGTCACGTATTTGTCATAATTTCCACTGAAAATTGACCACCAAACTAACAGTAGCCCTAGAACTACTCTAATTTGTCAATTTAGACTATGAATTTTCAACGAGATTAGCTTTCCCCCCTTGGTATATAAATACTAAGCCCCAAGTTCGTTCATGATCTCCCAATACATATTATAGCCAATCCTTTTTGGGGGGGGTTTTCTAATTAAGGAGGTATTTGTAATTTTCTTTGGCTAAAGTTTTAGTTGTTTGTTTAATTGTCGGAGTCATCATGATCAGAAATATGTTAGAACATTATTTTGTGGTGTTTTGGGCACTATTGGGATATTGTGCCTTAGGGGTTGCCAATATTGATAATAGGTACAGTCACCAATTACAACACGAAATTCAAAGCGACTGCCACTTTACTAGATATCCGTCCCTTTGTGTCCAAACATTGCTGGCCTTGAGGCCAGGATCATATCACTACACTGATGTGATTTCAGCTCTTGTCAACAAGACAATAGAGGAGTCAAAGCTTCCCAGTAGCACTTCTGATGATTTCTCCACGTTGAACTCTCAACTTGGGGCTGAAGCAGCTAAAAGCGCTCAATCTATAACAGGTTAATATTTTAGAGAGTATATATATATATACATATATATATAAATAATATTATAACGTGCAATATTAATTTGTTATATGTCATTTTCTTCTATATTCGCATTTGCTAATAAATAGTTAGGTATATCTTGACAAATTTTTCAGTATTCATAACGTGTGGAGAAAATTATTATATTCATTATAGATTGGGAGATTATAAGGATATGAAAAATTATATATATTGATAGATCGTTCTGTTTTAAATTGTCTATTAAAATTCTATCAGTTCTAAATACTTTTTTTCGTTCTAAAATGATCTTAATCGGATTTATCATTTAATTACATGCATTCCCAATAGATACGCCTAGCTAGAAAGCTCTGGTTGATTGTGGTTCTAAATTCGTTTTTTTTTTTTTTTTTAACCGTATTGTAAATGACCGTGCATGTCATGATCAACACAGGTGATTGTGAAGCGCTCATGAGCTTGTCAGTGAAGCGGCTACGACAATCCTTAACTGCGATAAAACAATCTCCGACGAAGAAAAAGGAAGACATCCAGACATGGCTAAGCGCGGCCTTGACCTTCCAACAAGCCTGCAAAGACTCTGCCGACGGGCTAACCCTAGCGAGCCAGATATCAAAGAAAATGTCCTATCTAACCGAGCTAAGTAGCAATGCTTTAGCTCTCACTAATCGCATCACCGGCAGCAAGTCACCGGAGCCTTTTGACGCGGCCACACATACTGCTCGCGGCCGCCTCAAGGGACAAATTTTTCCAAAGTGGGTATCTCCAAGGGACAGAAAACTACTCCAATCCACCACCATTAATGCCAATGCTGTTGTTGCCCAAGATGGATCAGGAAATTACAAAACTATTTCAGAAGCTATACGCGCCGCTTCTGGGGGTCGTTTTGTGATTTATGTGAAGGCGGGGGTTTATAAGGAGAAGATTCACGCGAGTAAAGATGGTATTACGTTGATTGGAGAAGGTAAATATACTACTATTATTACTGGTGATGATAGTGTCGCTGGTGGCTCTTCTATGCCCGGATCAGCAACATTCAGTAAGTATTCTATTTTGCTAATTTATTCAGACCAGGCTAGCTTTTACTTTTTTACGGTCTTTGAAGGGGGAAAAAAGAAATCATGACTTGTATTAATTTCCGAATTATTAAGTGTGTTTAGAACTCGTTCTAAAATAATTTTATTTTTTGTATAAAAATAAAAATAAAAACGTTTTTAATCTTAGACAGAAATTATTTTTAAAAATACATTTGGTACTTTTTTACGGTCTTTGAAGGGGGAAAAAAAGAAATCATGACTTGTATTAATTTCCGAGTCATTATGTCCTGTTATGATGACTCTTTGACATCTTTGTGACTGATTTACACAAATTTGGTTTGAAAGTACTAGTAATTATATAGTAACTAATTAATCATACATGTTACAGTTAGGAAACATGATATTAATTGTGAATTATGTATAATATATATGTTATGGATACATTTATACACATAGAACAAGATAAAACATAATAAATATTAGATTATATATTTTGCTTTTAGATGTTAGGGATATATATCCACACGTTTATTTTTTTTTTATTTTTTTTTTAACCCTTCCTGGTGATGTGATTTCCAATGGAAACACAAAGATAATTAAGAAAATAGACGTAAGTTGGATGAGAAATCTGAGTAATCATATTTATTCTGATAGGGTTAAATCTTCACTCTCTCACAAAGGTCTGGTCTCACATGAATTCCACAAGTGGGGTCCACTCTCTATAAGAGAGTGGAAATATATCATGATCCGGTTATACAACATTTTTTAAAAAAGAAAAAGGTTTAATGGTAAGAAAGGGCGTTATACTTGTGAGGCCATAACACGAGGAATTAATTGCCGTGTTTGAAATTGTTCTTATTTTTATTTTTCACATTTTTTGAGAAAAAAAAAATGAAAACGATTTTAAAATAGCGTTTGACACAATTAAAGACAAAAAAGGGAAATGAAAAACGATTTTTTAGTTTAGTGTAAAATATGAGAAAAATGAAAAATGACTTTTAATCGTTTTTCATTTTTTGTTTTCGTTTTCTCCTCTCTTGAGCAGAGAGAGAGAGAGAGAGACATTAATGGTTTTTTATACTTAAAACAATCTCTTAATAAAACTATCAAACACATTTTTAAAAATAATTTCTGTCTGAGATTGAAAACGTTTTTATTTTTATTTTCATACATAAAATAAAATCATTGTGGAACGAGTTCCAAACGCACCCAAAAAGTCTTACTCTTATATGAGAGGTGACACAAAAAGGTTGACAATTACCTTCTTGTAAAGGCACTTTGAGGGTGTTTGTTAAATCATAATCTACTAGTGTTCCATAAACCAGTATTTATAAGTAAGCCATAAAATACTCAAGACATGACACGTCCACTAGTTTAGCACTTGAAACTTCAGTGCGCAAACAAAAAGTGTTGGGGTAGTGGTCAATTTCCAAGAGCCAGAACACACAAACTTTTAAAAAAATAATAGTAATAATCACACATTTTTTTAAAAGAAAAAATTACACAAACTTTTGTCCTGGTCTAATAGTGGTCATAGTTTTGGATAATGTCTAGTTGTCAAGGCATTCACGTCATATTTTTATACCAGTGGAGGGGGCTAAAGAACCACAACATGATTATTACGGTAAGTACGTGATACAACACATATATGACAAGGGCCATACTATATATACTGTACATCACCGGTACGTTTATATCATCAATTAATTGTTCATCAAAGAGCTTAGATCTGTTGCTCCCATTTTTTTACTTTTAAAGTTTTTTTTTCTCTACTTATTTATCATCTCATCTAAGTAATTTAACTACATAAATAAAAATAAAATACTAAAAATACTTAAATAATTCACGAGTTATTAAAATTTAATTATAATAATAGCGAGAAAAAGAGAGCATACTTTGATTCTTCATCGAGCTAGATAAAACTATACTAGTGATGATTTTTGGTTAGTTTAAAGAATATTATAATTCACAAATTTGTAAAAAAGTAATACCAAAATAATAATAATAATAATAATAATAATAATAATAATAGAATAGTACTACTACTAATAATAATAACGGACTGTTGCTAACTACTAATTTTCTTGTTGTCGTTCAGCCGTCACCGGCGACGGATTCATTGCCCGCGATATCGGGTTCCACAACACAGCGGGGTCGCAAGGAGAACAAGCCCTGGCTCTCTACATCGCCTCCGACCACTCAGCCCTATACCGGTGCAGCATCGCAGGCTACCAAGACACCCTCTACGCCCTCGCGCTCCGGCAGTTCTACCGCGAGTGCGACATCTACGGCACCGTCGACTTCATCTTCGGCAACGCGGCCGCCGTCTTCCAGAAATGCAACCTGGCTCTCCGGCGGCCGAGTGGCGCCAACGTCATCCTGGCCAACGGCCGCTCCGACCCCGGCCAAAACACCGGATTCTCCGTCCAGAACTGCCAGATCACCGCCAGCTCCGAGTTTTCCGCAGTCAAGCACTCGTACGAATCCTATCTCGGCCGTCCATGGAAGGCTTATTCGAGAGCGGTGGTTATGCAGTCGAATATTGACGACGCCATTGAGCCTAGAGGATGGATTGAGTGGCCTGGCTATGGAAGTTCCGTTCTGAAAAGCCTTTATTTCGCCGAATATGCGAACGTCGGGCCCGGGGCCGGGACTTCTCAGAGGGTGACATGGCCTGGTTTTCATGTCATTGGGGTTGAAGATGCGGAGAAGTTCACCGTGGCCAACTTTATCGCCGGGAATTCTTGGTTGTCCTCGACCAAAGTGGCGTTCGACTCTGGTCTCTAGTAATATTATATCTGTTTCATCAATTGATCATATACTTCTTTGCTAATGTGTTTATTATTATTATTGTGTATTTTGGGGTCGGAGATCTTATGTTGATCGATGTGTTTGGAAGATTTGGGGTAAGGAAGAAAAAAAAAGAATATTGTTGTGTGTGTATTGTTTAGAGTATACAAGGTAGTGCCGTAGTGGGTATAATAATTTAGATATGTAAATTACTTGCATACTGAAAACTTGTATGCTACTATTTATCAAGTGTTCATGACCTGATCACGTCCATTTTATTTAGTTGTTATAACTTTTTTTTTTTGTTTCCTTTTTTTCTTCATTTGAAATTATTAGTAACATGAAATTTAGCTTTACTAAAAGTGATGGAAATATCAGAACACATAATTAATTATACACCAAATAGAGTCAATGGCTTGGTGTAATGTTCATTTTTTTTTTTTTTTAACTTAAACGAAAAAATTTGAACTCTACAATTTAAGATAGAATATATTGGATTTACCCGTTAGTGCTTACAACGATAATGTAACATTTGCATTTGGATATCTTCTATGTAGCATGATCCAAATATGTACCATATGTGAAAGAACTATTGATCTCAAAAGCTCGAGTACTAGTCAATTGTCTTTTTAAGATATTCATTAATTAGTTTTTATGTTCTAGACGGTAGAAAATAACACGTGGCTTGTTGATATATATCATCAATATATTTATATATATTTGCTTTTAGTACGTACGTAAACTAAATTTTTTACCTGTTCTCTACCTGCAATTTTTATTGATTGCCATCATCATTATATTATAATTTATACTCATCAATTATAGAGCTCTCATGACAGCGTATATCCTTTGTTCTTGCAAGTACTGATCAATACCTTTCATATATATATATATATATACAAAACAAAGATCCTTCAGCTATCAAACAGAAATTATTCCCTTTTGTCGGCAGAGAAAATAAGGTATTTCCCTGTTTAGGGGCTGAGGTGTGTACTGTATATATAGTTGAAGCCATGAAAGCCTATTAATTAATGGTGGCGTGTCATTTCGGACACCAACGCGAGGGTCCATACGCCATAAAACTAGCTTAATTATAAAGTTTGTAATCCAAAATAGAAACTTTGCTTGTCCCCCAAGCCTCATGTTGAGGTCTGAATCATACATAACTTAAATGAATCATATTTTATGCCCCAGCCACGCACGCACAAAAAAAAAAAAAAAAAAAAAAAAAAGAGAGTGAATCATAATTCATATATATACATATACACACACATTATCTTGTAGTTTTACTAACCACTCTTTCGGAGACGAGTGCTATATATTTGTTGTAAGGTCTGCATCGAACTGTTATGTTGATTTAATTTAATTGTACAATTTACAGTACGACTTGAAACAAAAGTCAATCCTTTTTAATGGGCCGTTCCCATCCGTCTTTAGCTGCCCACTGTTCCTAAGGGCGTTAATGATCCCGTTCACTTTACTGATTTAAATTTGTAATTCGAATTGAGATGTAATTTTATGTGATAATTTTTTACTGTAATAAAAAAATTAAATGTGATTATTTTTAAAAATTTTTTACTGTAATAAAATTTAAATTCTAAATTTAAATCGATGAAATGAACCGTCTTACTTGAGAAAATTGTACGGATCTGAATTTACAAGCTCAGCTTTTCTCTACTTTCCTGACACAACTTAATGACAAACAGAGAGAAAGAGAGAGAGTTATGGTTCTCGTGCGTATTTCCGGCTTAGACTAGTCAACCTTGAGGCATCGCTAAGGCTAATAATGAGTAGGAAATTATTTGCTTGCATAATTCAGTTCATAATTACTGTAATTTTATGTGATAATTTTTTACTGTAATAAAAAAATTAAATGTGATTATTTTTTAAAATTTTTTACTGTAATAAAATTTAAATTTTAAATTTAAATCGACGAAATAAACAGTTTACTTTTTTGAGAAAATTGTACGGATCTGAATTTACAAGCTCAGCTTTTCTCTACTTTCCTGACACAACTTAATGACAAACAGAGAGAAAGTGAGAGAGTTATGGTTCTCGCGCGTATTTCCGGCTTAGACTAGTCAACCTTGAGGCATCGCTAAGGCTAATAATGAGTAGGAAATTATTTGCTGCATAATTCAGTTCATAATTACTTTCTGCAAGTGTAAATAATTCCTTCATTATCGATTCATTTTGACTAGTCAACGTCATAATTAGTTGATTTTATAATTTTGCAGGACCAACCCAACTAAGCAAGATTGGATAATGGATCATGTGTACACACATATATATAAAAGTAATCTTTACCCAGGATACGTGTTTTTCTCTACCGCGGTATGAACTATTATTTTCAATCATAAGATTAATTTTTTAACATAGATAGGTTAACATAAAACTTTACAATCTTTATCATTTAAACCTCTCTAGTGCCGTTAGACCAAGCAATCTCTCATATTTTGAAGTATAAACTCTAAATATAAAACTTGGTAGTGGTAACTTGGTGTAAGTCCACGTGCGTATACGGAGAATAATTAACAGCTTAATTCTTCTTGCATACATCAAAAAAAAAAAAAAAGATTAATTTTTTTTTCAAAAAACAAAAAAAAAAAAAAAAAAAAAAAAAACCCTTCATTTGAATTAGCATTTTAATAAGATAAGAGGACAAAGTGATGTTGCCATATTAACCAATTAGCATTGCCTTTGAAAGGCTGTTTTTAGGCTAAATTACAATCAAACAAAGAAAGAATGTGATTGATGGGGGAGATGATGTCTAGTTTGCAATAAATTACAAGAAAAAAGTGCAGACATTAATTTGTTCACATGGTTGTGCCCCTGCCTGTCTATTTATGTGGAATTACCAAGAACTCAGATCCTATGTTTAAATTGTCTGTCGTTTTTGCCCATCTAACTAATAACTCAGTAGTACCTTATTGACTTGCTTAAACCCAATGACATTAAAAAAAATAAAAATAAAAATAAAAACTGTCACTCCGTTACGGGTTCTTGCTTAACTTTTTTTTTTCATTTGATTGTACGATGGAGATATACCTTTTTTTTTTTTTCTCTCTTTTTGTTCTTTTTGTTTTGTTAGTGGATTTATGGAAGTGTGAGGTGACATTATCCCTTTTTCTTTTTTTCTTTTTTTTTTTTTGAGAAAACAACAAACAATTGATTCAAGTCCAACCGTATAATTTGGGATCTCCGTGAAAACCAATAGTAATAGTATAACTATTGCGGTGTTATCACACGCGTGGTGGATTACATCATAATTATGATTTTGCACTTTTTGAGGTCCACACCAACTTCTAATTAGCACCGACCAAAGACGTTAATTGATTGAGGGAACACAATGTCCCATAAATTTTGGAGAGCAGAGTGGAAAATTAATCCAAATAGCTGGTTGATAATGATATAAAGTAGGGACGAGTGATTGATTTTGTATGGGTTAGAATTTGATGATTATATTAATTTAGTAGCATCTATTCATATGGAACTTCCCAGTCCCTTTGCATTATAGCCGTTGGGGAACATTGATTGTCCGCTATAATTGTCATGTCAATAGTCCTTAATCCTTGTGTTTTTGTTCACCTTCTGCTAACAGTTCTGTTAAGTATGTAAAAAGAGCACCTCTATTCATACCCAATGAGATTAAAACTCAGCTATTTATATGAAGTGGACTTCGTTAAGTAAATAGGTGGGACCCAATTTAGTGGAATCGACCACTTTGCGAGAGTGATGAGAGGATGAATGCATTTTTTATGTGAAAATGTGGTCCCCGATTTTATTTTTTTTTATTTTAATGAAAATTTGTTGAACTCCTAATAAGTTGATAACAAAATGACGAAAATAAATCAAGGTGTTAAATTTTAGATGAGAAAATACAAGTGAGAATCGCATGCATCACTAGTAAATCAGGGGTTAAAAAAGGAAATCAAAGTAGCTTAAATGTTAATAAAAATTAAAATGTAACCAAAAAAGAAAGGAAAATCCACAAACGCTTAAAGAACTTATGGCCAGGAAGTTTAGAAACTATATTTAAACTCAAATCATAATTCTGCTATAATGTTTTTTTGAATTTTAAAATTTTTTCTCTCACAAAGTTTTCGTCAATAAACTCAAATCACGATTTGAGTGTACCTTTTAAATAGGCTCTCACGCATTCTATAAACTACAAGAGAGAGGAATATTGGGGGGCTCGACGGAGGGGATCGTGATGGGGCGAAGGGGGTTTGGGATTGTGGCAAAGGGATGAGATTGCACGGTAAAGTTTGTGGTATTTTTATGAAGTTGACTAGGCTCACATATCTTGATTAGTGAGGGGCTAAAGCTGTGATATTTCAACGAAGTTTGATGAGGGCGATTCGAATTAACAAAAAAAAAAAAAAAATGCTCAAAATGATATTTACCTTGCTATTTGGTTGTATGATTTGGCAACTCCATTGTTGCTATTATTTTTTATTAATAATTTAATTGTTAAGATAAGCTTTAAAATTAGGCTTATCGATCCACAAAGCAAAGCTTTGTGACAGTATTTTGAAAAGCTGAGGTTTTTTATGTATCTTGATTGTGATAGAAATGATACATAAAAAAGTTGTTTGGTTCTCAATTTCCACTAGATTTAGGGCATTTTAGTAATGACAGTGCAAATATACTATAGATGAGAATCATATTATAAAGACCGGTCTAAATTTGGGATGTCCGTTGTCAATTTCCATCATTTTGCTATCAATCTTTTAAGACTTCGTTTATTTCACCGATTCGAGTTTTCAGTTATAGGTTTCCACAGTTAAAAGCCTTCAGAAAATGTCACATCTAACTTTTTCTACTACAGTGAAAAGCTCTCAAAAAATGTTACATCTCAGCTCGAATTGAAAATTCAAATCTGCGAAGCGAACGAGGCCTAAGAGTTTGGACATTTTTTTGCCTAAATTTATTTTTGGGAGAAAATTGTTATCTACTTAGTTTTAAAACCAAATAAACTAAAACCCTTTTTTTGGTTTATGCTATATGTTTACCTACTAAGTAATTTCGTTCAATACACAATAATCACTATCAAAACCCCACGGAAACTGGTCTAAATTAGATATTGTCGATAGCATGTCACGTAATAGATCCATATTTTGTCACACGTAATTGTGTTTCTAATTACACATTTTGTTTAATAGAAAACAAGCCTCCGAAGAAAAGAGGAGAAGGCATTTGTCATTTGAATTCATCCTAATCCTGGATCATGATATAAATTTGTACAAGTTAATGGTCTTATCAATTACATTGCAAACTTCAAAATGTCCTTTCAAAAAAGTTAGCCATGTTGAATATAGTTGAATTGGCAACGTTGTTAAGCTGGCTATTACGTAAATTGAGACACGGCTTGATCAAGTATGCGATTTTTTTTTATTTTTTATTTTTTATTTTGCGAAAAATACATATACATTCCTCTAATTTATCATAAGACAAAAACATCTTTGTTGTCATGTAGCACACACCAATTATATGTTATGTAGTGCATGTCACTAATCAGAAGAGAAAATTATGGGCCCGTTCACTTCGCTGATTTGAGTTTATAATTCGAGTTTATATGTAATTTTGTGTGAGAGCTTTTTACTGTAGCAAAAAAAGTTAGATGTGACTGTTTCTGAGAGCTTTTTACTGTAGTAAAACTCGAATTCTAAACTCGAATCAGCGAAATGAACGAGACCTATATTACTTTGTTCACAAAACTAGGGTGGGCCGTCTCTTTAGAAGGAAAGAACATTTTAACCCAAAAAAAAAAAAAAAAACACCTTAGAGGCTCAAGATGTAATACTTTGTAGCTTTACTTTAAAGATAAATGTTAAAATTACTCTTTTTGTCGCTCTTTTTAATACTTTTTTTTCTGGAGTATGTATTTAGATTGTAATAATTAGTGAGGTGGGCTAAAAAGTGACTCTCACCGAATTTGCTATCTTCATAATCCACCATGTGTTAACTATATTTTATTTCAAAGCTGCTAGCTAAATAACAAAAATTCCTTCCTTCACTATAATAACATGAAACCCACAAGTATATTCACCGGGCGAAAATCAAGTATGAGCAAAAAGCACAATACCCACAAGACGTGGATAGATAGTATAAATTATTTACGCCTAATATATTTACCAATATATAAATTAGTTACGTCTAGTAAATAATTATTTATCAATAAATATACTAATACTTTAATCGATTTAAAAATATACTATTTCCTTTTAAAAAAACGTTTCAAAAACATGCTATTTATTACAACTACAGGGAAAGGAAAAAAAAAAAAGGAGAGAAATCTTAGACAATGGGCGCGCTACTCACATCTCGAAATGGCCCATCAACAATGGGCCACATTCAGGCTACCAATTTGAGCCAAGCTCACAAAGCAGCCCACATAAACTAACTAAAGAGAGAATGAAAAAATGGAGAATATACATTATACTCAGTCTTTATTCCTTACTCTTGATAAATATTTTTTTTGTTAATATAATTATTTGATTAGAAAGGTTATGAATCAAGAGTAAAGAGTAAAAATTCTGACTTATATATTTTTAAGGGATATTTGTCAAAATTACCCAAAGAGAATCGTTCACGATAACTTTTTATCGGGAGAATGAGAGAAATAATATATTTAGTAGGGTGTTTAGTAAATTATAGCATAATTTTTAAAAACAAATAGATTATAGCATAATTTGATACTTTAGATTTTAGACATTATTAAAAAAACTAAAAATATCCATAAATCTTTTTTCCATCTCTTTTCTCCCCATTAAGCTTTTATTTTTATTTTTTTGAAAATAGTAAATTATAGTATATATTTTTTAAAATGGGGATATTATATCATATTTTTCTAAAATAAGAAAACTATAGCCGACGCGGGCGGCCGACGACCATCTCCAGTGATCGGCTACGATCGCCGGTGATCGGTGACCGGCGGCAATTGCCGGTGATCGACATCGGTCGCCAATGACTCGTAAATACTGCATTTAGTGATAATTACCATATTTATTAGTAAATACCGTATTTAGTATATTGTTCTGAAAATCCAGCGGATGGCTCCGATAATTGGTAAATACCGCCACCGTCTCGTCGTTGCCGCCGTCAGAGCTGTTCGGGAGGTGTCATAGCAGATAGAGAGATAGAGCATATTCAGAAAAAGGGAACTTGAGAGAGATAGAGAGCAGATACAGAGAAGTTCTTGGGAGAGAGAGTCGAAGAAGTTCTTGAGAGAAAGAGAGATAATATATCAAGAGAAAACGTAAAAGAAAAAAAAAAGAAAAAAAGACAAAACAAGAATTGAAAAGGTAAAGGGGTAAATTTAGAAAAATCGTATATGATTCTCCCGTTGGATAACATTTTCAAAATGATTTTGTTTTTAACATAAAAGTAAAAATGAGATTATTTTGAGAATTATTTTGAAACCGATTCTGAAATTGTGTTTGGTTCATTTTTTAAGAGATTGTTTTGAGTATAATAAAAAACTGAAATTGTGTTTGGTTATAATTATTAATTATAATATTATAATATTGCTGATAAGTACTAGAAAATGAAAACAAAAAAGGAAAATAATTTTTAACTATTTTCTTATTCATTCACAAAAACCATTCTTACTTGACATGTTTAGAACTCGTTCAAAAATGATTTTATTTTTTGTATGAAAATGAAAATGAAAACGTTTTCAATCTCAGACATAAATTATTTTTAAATATGCGTTTGGTAGTTTTATTAAGATATTATTTTCAGTGTAAAAAACACATTAATGTCTCTCTTTCTCTCTCTCTGCTTGAGAAAGGAGAAAAAGAAAACAAAAAATGAAAAACGACTAAAAGTCATTTTTTATTTATCTCTCATTTTACACTAAACTAAAAAATCATTTTCATTTTTATTTTTTATCTTTATTGCGCAAAACGCTGTTTTGGAAACATTTTTATTTTTTTCTCAAAAAATGTAAAAAATAAAAACAAGATCAATTCCAAACACGGCCACTGTTTTTTGTTTTTATTTTCATTTTCAAAACATTTGCTAAATAAACAAAATTTACATACCGTTTTTATTTTCATACCTCAAAATACGAAACGTTTTTAAAAATAATTAAAAACCAATTCAAAACGCACTATATTTAAAAAATATGTTATTTACTTCAAAAATTGTCTCAAAGTATGCTATAAGCTGTATTTTTCCCTTTTTCTCCTCCTCAAGTGTTGCATTAATATGCTATAAGCTGTACTTTTCCCTTTTTCTCCTCGTCTAGTGTTGAACTAAGGTAGTAAATTTGGCGCTCCTGAAAAGGCTTTTGAAATCATATTACAATTTCCCTCCATCCAATTCCAGTCTCAGACTCTGTTTCCACTTCTGCTTTCTCTCTCTAGTTCCACTTTCTCTCTCCAGGCTCCGGTTCAGACCATTATCGAATGGCTATGGAGCAGCAGAGGAACCAGAAGGAGGTCCAAGAACACGAAGAACTCGAAGAAGCCCAGCACGGCCCTTCCCCCGTCGAACAGCTTCAGGTATGAATCTCACAAATTCTGAATAAAGAAAAAAGAAGCAAAACCCACTTTTCGATTCTTTAATTTTCTTTGATTTTCAGTCCCATTTCTTTAATTTCGGATAAATTCACGCGTTTTCCCTAATGGGTTCTTTTCCATTTTGCCTTTTCTTAGTTGGGTTTGCGGAATTCAGATTTTGACGGTTTCTACGTTGTTTTAATTGGCGTGTCCGAATTTCTTTAGATCTTGCTAAAGTTCGTAAATTTTTCCTGGGTTGTATCTTTTACCGATTTCATCTTGTACATTGCGTTGTTCAAAGGATTGGTTACTTCAATTAGAGGTCCGTCGTTTATCAATCAATTATACCAAACCCTAGCTATAGATGAGCTCTTCGTTCTCTTGATCGGCTATTCCACTTCTGTAATGGATACCCACAACTTAAAGTATCAATATTTGTTTGGTTCTTGGATTTTTCTAACCCATTTGGAATTTTCTAACCCATTTTTCATATTCTTGTAAATCTTGACAAAGTATGTGTTTTTCTTTTTTAAAAAAAACAAATTTATCTTCAACTTTAGGCGTCAGGCATTGCCTCTATAGACGTAAAGAAGCTTAAAGATGCGGGTCTTTGCACGGTTGAATCTGTTGCTTACTCTCCAAGAAAAGATCTTCTTCATATCAAAGGAATCAGCGAAGCTAAAGTCGACAAGATCATCGAAGCAGGCATGCCAATTGTGCCCATTTATCCCTTTTGATTCCTTAGCATTATTGTCCTTAAACTTCAATAGTCCTTAAACTTTAATAGTTTGCGATTTTAAACAAATCTTCATGTTTGGCTTGTTTTGTTTTATTGACACTCAGCTTCCAAGTTGGTACCTTTGGGCTTTACTAGCGCTAGCCAACTTCACGCCCAGAGGCTTGAAATCATTCAAATAACATCTGGGTCAAGAGAACTTGACAAGATCTTGGAGGGTAAGTCTCCAAGATTACTCTTCAAATTGGGTCTTAAATTTTTCACTTGAAATATAGAAATCTGATTGCCAATTGAGCTTAAATTGATTTTCCACTTTACTCTTACACTTGGGGCCTGCCACCTTTTTTTTTTCCCAGGAGGAATTGAGACGGGATCTATTACTGAGTTATATGGCGAGTTCCGCTCTGGAAAGACTCAACTCTGTCATACACTCTGTGTCACTTGCCAAGTAAATGCTTTTATTTTCTTTCTACTGATTAAACGGGTGATGCAAAGTGTAATTGGAGTTGGATAAGATGCTCTCTTTTCCTGTATGTTTGTTTCATTAGAATTTTCAGTATTATGGGGTTCATATGATTCATCTCTAGGTTAGCTGAGATGTTAGTCAATCTATTTTTCAATAATGTTCAACCATTCAATGCTATATCTAAGAACTTTGATATTTCAGCTTCCGCTAGATCAGGGAGGCGGAGAGGGAAAAGCAATGTACATTGATGCCGAGGGCACGTTCAGACCACAGAGACTGTTACAAATTGCAGATAGGTATTGTAATTTGATTTGGTTGATATCAAAATGTTGTATGATATGTGCTGTATGTATTCAACGGCGTTGATTTTGCTTCAGGTTTGGACTGAATGGTGCTGATGTGTTGGAGAATGTGGCCTATGCTAGAGCATATAACACTGACCATCAGTCAAGGCTCTTGCTTGAAGCAGCTTCAATGATGGTAGAAACAAGGTGTGATACAACTGTCACTTGTTGTATCTAGTGATTCTGTTCCTCAAGATTGGAAATATCAATCTGGTTCCTAAATGTGATCTAGAGCTTTATGAGAAAGCTTCCTTTTTTTTTTTTTCCTCTCATTTATAGAGCTGTATTAATTGTGGCTATAACAACGCAAGTAAGAGTAAGACTAATGAGTTTGAATGGATCTGGTTGTACAGATTTGCTCTCATGATAGTAGACAGTGCTACGGCTCTATACAGAACGGATTTCTCCGGAAGGGGAGAACTTTCAGCAAGACAAATGCATCTTGCAAAATTCCTCCGGAGTCTTCAGAAGTTAGCAGATGAGGTAAAAGATTCTTACATCTTGATTGAGCCCTTGACTCATCTTCCTCAAAATTGCTAGGTTTGAGTTGTAAGTTGTAGGAACTGAAAATTATTTACTGGTTGCAAAAAATGACCTCTGCAATTTCTTTTACTGAAAATCAACTCTGATATAGTGCAGTTTGGCGTTGCTGTTGTCATTACAAACCAAGTAGTTGCACAAGTAGATGGTTCTGCAATCTTTGCCGGACCTCAGGTTAAGCCCATTGGTGGTAACATCATGGCTCATGCCTCCACAACAAGGTTTGTTTTAGCCTATCTTTTTGTTGTCTCGCTGCAAAAATGTCGCAAAATTTCTTTGCTCGATTGGTACTAATCATTTAACAAACCCATGATAGGCTTGCACTTCGGAAAGGAAGGGGGGAGGAGCGGATTTGTAAAGTGATAAGTTCTCCATGTTTGGCTGAAGCTGAAGCGCGCTTTCAGATTGCTGGAGAGGGTGTTACTGATGTCAAGGACTGATTAGATTCAGTCAATACCAAGGCAAATTTCTTGTAATCTATTGATGATTCGCAAGGAAACAAGCCATTTTGTCATAACCCCTGTAAATTTTGTTTACATTCAAGAGCTTTTGTGGAAAGCTTCGGAGATCTTTTTTTCATTTTCTTTTCCCCTTTATTACTTGTTTCGCAGTTTCTTTCCTTAATGTTACATATAACACTAGCCTGGATTTCCCGAAGGCTTCAAGTGATGGTTCTATTTAATATGTTTTACAGTGATGTGGATAATGCATAAGAGATAAAACTTACAACGAAGTGATTCTTAATTCAGCTAAAAATTAAATCTTTTCTATGTTTATTTTTATCTTTATTTTTAATTTTAATTCTGTACTTTTTATTTGTTGTGGTTGTCTCAACGTTATTGGCTCTTTTAACTTTTAAATGCCGTTCTTTGAACATTGTCGTTTTTGTTTATTGCTGTTAGTAAGGTTATCGTCGTTTTCCCTAAAAAAAAAAGAAGTCATCAGGTTATCTTAGATAATCGTCGTTTTCTTTCAATTTCTTTTTTGTGAATTTCGAGCTGTTTTTCCTGTTGTTCTATTGTTCACGCCGTTTCTTTATACAGTATTGTCGTTTGTCGTCTCTGAGTTGTTTTATCTAGGGTTAATTTCAATTTTGGCCTCGAAGAATATTAGTTGTTGTTTTTTTTTTTTTAAAAAACTTTTAAATGACATACTACTGGCACTAATTGTTATACTAATTGGACAGAAACATTAATACTAATTGTTATAGAATCGTTCAAAAATGGACAGAATGTAACACATAAGGTCATATAGTCGCTTGATGTTATTATGAACGGGGGTGTTGATGCTCTCTGGCAAATTAAGGCTGTGTTTAAAATTGATCCCGTTTTTATTTTTTACGTTTTTTGAGAAAGAAAAAATGAAAACGGCGTTTGACGCAATAAAGATAAAAAACAGAAATGAAAACGATTTTTTAGTTTAGTGTAAAATGAGAGAAAGATAAAAAATAACTTTTAGTCGTTTTTCATTTTTTGTTTTCGTTTTCTACTCTCTCGAGGAGAGAGAGACATTAATGAGTTTTTTATACTGAAAACAAACTCTGGATAAAACTACTAAACACATTTTTAAAAATAATTTATATATGAGATTGAAAATATTTTTATTTTCATATAAAAAATAAATTATTTTGTAACGAATTTCAAACACGCCCTAAATATCCTTTACCCAATTGTTACTTTGTTAGCCTTTTTAACGATTCGATCACGAAGGTTATTGCAACGTTTGTTAAGTTAAGGTGCCAGTAGTGTATCATTTGAATGTTTAGTAAGAAAAATGAAACAACCAAAATATTTTTCAGAAGTTAAAATTGATATTACTCCTCTTATTTATTCAATTATTTATTTGAATTTTGTTATGTTACTTCAAGTCCTCCTGGTTATTTTGGTTTAGGACTTAAGTTGATTTTGATTTTATATCTTATATCAATTTTTATTTATTTGTTGCCCTTTCCTTTTTTTTTTTTAAAGTTTTTCAATCATCCGTCGGTGTCGTTTTTCTTTATATTCGCCGTTTTTGTTGTATTCTTCCGTCAACTTAGCATTATTATTTTTTTTTTATAGATTTCTCGTTTATTTTACCGATTTGAGTTTTGCTACAGTAAAAAACTCTCATAAACAATCACATCTAACTTTTTTACTACAGTAAAAAGCTCTCACATAAAGTCACATCTCAACTCGAATTAAAAACTCAAATCAGCGAATTAAACGGGCTTTTATTTGTCTACGATTCACAAATCACAACTCTAACAAAAAAAAATTTATTTATTTTTTTCAAAAGTCCTAGCAATAAATGAATACAAAAAGGGAAAAAAGAAAATGAAATAGGTGGAGCGGTAACGTTGAAACGCACCGTTTCCCAGTTCTAAGTAGTTCTTTTGCTACGTTCAAACCGTTCTAACGAGGCGAGAAAAGAACGAGGACAAAAGGGAATGAGACACAGAATGCTCTGAAGCAGACCAACAATGGCGACCAAGGCAAATTCTTCTGCCACCACTCTTCCCAAGTCCGGCGGAGCCATTTCCAAGGGCTACAACTTCGCTTCTCACTGGGAACAGGTCTCCATAGCTTAACCTTCATCATCATCTTCTTCTTCCTCTTTCTCTCTGGTTAATTCGAACACAACTGACAACGAAAGCTAAAACCAGATCTAGCATATTCGGATCTCAATTCATCAATTTTAAGTCTTTTCGATTGAATTAATCTCTGTTTTCATGTAGAATTTGGTTATTGTTAGTAGTATCAGCGAGGCTCAGATCGGATTGGCATCAGATCTGTGCACAGATTTTCCTTTTTTTTTGGGCGTTCTCATGGAAATTGTTTATTGGCTCCGCAGAATGCTCCTTTGACAGAGCAACAGCAAGCCGCCATTGTGACTCTCTCTCATGCCGTCGCCGATCGGCCGTTTCCTCTCAATTTGGTCTGATTTTCTGCTACTTGCTTTACTCGTTTAGTTTGTTCAGGAAGATTTTCGTGTAGTAGTTGATTTGACCTCTAGATTCTGTCGAATTTTAGGCCAAAGACCGTGCCTCCGGGCAGGAGAATGGCTTGTCCGTTTCCACGAAGGAGAACGCCTCGGGCTTCGAACACTCTGGAGCTGCAGAAGCCGTTCTCGTCAATACTAATCAGGTGAGTTTTCGGATTTGTAAATCTAATCACTATCTGGTTAGTATGAATTATGGATAATTATTGTGACTCTCTGAATTGGATATCGACGGTGTTGAATTTCACTTCCTCTGTCTTTGTGAGAAAACGATAGGCTAGATGATGCAATTTGGTAATGTTAATTATAGGAATTCCTTTAAGGTGCATTCTTTGAATTGTTTTTGCCATAAGAAGATTTGAAATATGTGTTCATGACCTTAAGGTGGTGTTTGTATAGTTGTAATATTCTTTCTAATTTCTCATGTTAGGTTTCTGGGTATAATATTTTTCTGTTTTCTTGCAGTTCTACAAATGGTTTACAGATCTTGAATCAGCCATGAAGTCTGAGGTAAGCATGTATTTCTTTCTTATTCTTATTATTTACTTTATTTCATTTTTAACTATTTGCAACTGTTTTTCTCATCTTATAAGAGTTTAATAGTCACTTTGTACGTATTGCACCTATTTGTTCACTTTCTTTAGACAGAGGAGAAGTATCGGCAGTATGTGAATACATTGACTGGGCGGATAGAGACATGTGATGGCATACTTTGCCAGGTAGATCTTAGGTTATTTTTCATGTAGGTGCTTTGTTATTGCAGAAGATTCGTTATTACACTGATTATATGATCATTGGGCTTAAAATGATTGAGCTCCCTTCTGTGCAGGTGGATGACACCTTAGACTTATTCAATGAATTACAGCTGCAACATCAGGCAGTAGCAACAAAGACAAAAACTCTTCATGATGCATGTGACCGGCTGGTGAGATTTCCTCCATATGCCGACCTTTTTCTATGTCTGTTTGTTACTTATTATTCTCTATGGAGGATTTTTATTATTTGGTTGGTATGTATTGATGGTTTACATATATGTATATATATATATATATATATATATATGCTTTATTTTTTTTTAAAGAATACTGCCTTGCTGCTTTGCGTTTTGAACACATTGAGTAGACTTGAACTTTTTCTTATCTCTTGAACTTATTGATACTTTTTCATGAAATTGTTGATACTTTTTCATGAAATTATTGATACTTTTTCATTGTATTTTTGGTTCAAAACATTTTTTTTATGCTCCCGTCTTTCTTTGCAGGTAATAGAGAAGCAAAGACTAATAGAATTTGCGGAAGCACTTCGCAGTAAGCTCAACTATTTTGATGAATTGGAGAATGTAAGGTTCGAATGCTATCTTGCCTAGAGTCTAAACATTTGCTTAAGTAATATATGTTTCAGACGTGTTTACCTGTCCCTCCAGTATAGGATATAAATGCAAAGGAAACAGAACTAAGTTGATACTAAAGTGTTTTGATTCACTTAGCGTCTTTATTAACATATGCTTAAGTTGTTTAACTGAATTTTTCATATTATATGCAATTTTTTTAGCTTAAACAAGTTGATCTGGTTATTGACATGAAAATTAAGTTAAAAAAAAAAAGAACGAGTTTTCATTTGGGTGTTGTTCTTATTTTCTACATCTAAGCTAAACTATTTAGTTCTTATCATTTCAACATAATTTCTGCGTGGCTGTCAAACTTGTTGTTGCAGATATCTACCAACTTTTATTCTCCAAATATGAATGTTGTAAATCAGAACTTTCTCCCTCTGCTCAAACGACTTGATGACTGCATATCGTAAGTAGATACTTATTTGAGTAATTAATTCTAATTATTAGAAGGTTGTCTTGAGTTGCATGCCTTAGGGCTCAGAGATTATTTATTAAAAAATGCCTTGAAATATTTCTGCTCGATATTAGGTATGTTGAAAACAATCCACAGTATGCGGAATCCGGTGTTTACTTGCTCAAATTTCGACAACTGCAGGTAGAAACACAGTTCTGCAAGATAGTTAATTAGGGGAATAGTATTTTGTGGCTCTTCTTCTAGTAAGAGTTGTTTTCCTTTCCAGATATTTAGTAATCTATACTTGTTTTGACAGTCTCGAGCCTTGGGCATGGTTCGTTCTCACGTACTATCTGTTCTCAAAAGTGCTTCAGCTCAGGTAAAATAATTTATGGGTTGAATCATTGTTTTTCCCATGCTTTCTGTTGTTGTATTGGGTTGGTGGACCATTGGTCGTCCCTCCTCTGAGTACTCATTTTTCCTCTCTTGAATAAAGTTTGTGGTTTCTTAGTAAAATTGCATATAGGCTTGTACTAGACGTATAAGATAGCTGTATATGGCTTTCTGGTTTTTTATACAAAAGAAAGTTGTCATTGCATATAGGCTTTGTAGTAGACAGATCAGATAGCTGTATATGGCTACTGTTTCCTTCATCAGGTCCAGGCAGCAATTCGGAGCAGTAGTGGCAGCAAAGCATCTCTTGCTGAGGGTGTAGAGGCATCTGTAATATATGTCCGTTTCAAGGCAGCAGCAAGTGAGGTAAAATTTCCTTTTGGTAGACATTATGCAATTGGATAAGTAGGTGTAGATTGAAGTAGTATTCCATGGGTGAAAGCCATAGGACATTACGAATACTTTTTTAGGGAATCTGTTGGATGGAGAGATAGGATCTTTCCCCCCATCAACTTGTGAGAACATGTAGGCTTAACTGATTATTGGAGTTTTGCAGCTTAAGCCAGTGCTGAAGGAAATTGAAAGCAGATCATCAAAGAAAGAGTATATCCAGCTACTTGCAGAATGCCACAAACTATATTGTGAACAGAGGCTTTCCTTGGTGAGCTTAGGGTTTACTTAGTAGAAGACAAAGATCCTTTCATTTGTTTAGACTGATAACATCTCTTTTCATTTTATTATGTCCAGGTAAGAGGCATAGTGCATCAGCGAATATCAGAATTTGCAAAGAAAGAGGCGTTGCCATCATTGACTCGATCTGGATGTGCATACTTAATGCAGGTAACGGAAGCTATCTTTTCGTCATAGATGTTGTGTTTTGTTTCTTCGTACTGTATACACCATATTTCATTTTTTATGTCATAGAAACATAGAAAATAGAGGATTAATCACCTTGTGGATTTGCTTTTCCCCTCTTAATTGACATTGCCTCGCATGTAGGTCTGTCAGCTTGAGCAGCAACTATTCTATCATTTTTTCCCATCTTCTTCAGAAGATGTTTCAAGTTTGGCTCCATTAATAGATCCGTTGTAAGTATTGAGGCTCTTATTATTGCCATCAAGGCTCTCGTTTTCTGTTGTGAGTCACTGAGTTAGTAGGAATTGGATAGAGCCAGGGATATGTGTTCGTGTATCAAGCAAGCAGCTCTTAAACATCAGTGCATTTATATCTGCAGGGGCTTGGGGTAGAGTGAGAGAGAAGAGAAATCTAGGGACAAATGGCAAAAATAATTCAAAGAAATTTTAAATAAAAAAATTATGTTATCTAGGGAAAGGCATAGATTTCTTCTTCTTCTGCTTGGTTTAATTAATGAGGGTCCACGTCCCAGTTTCATAATCACCAAGATGCTTCGACTTGATAAATTTTAACAAAAGCAGAGCATTATATGAAACATGACTCTAATAACTTAAGAAGCTGTAATGAACACACAAGCCGAAATGTCTTCTTTAAAGTTGTGATACTTGTCCGATGTTTAGCTTCAGAGGGGATGTTATTCTCTCACCAGTCAAGCGCTACTTCAAGAGAGGGAACCAATTACTTAATCAATGTTTTACATAATCCTCTGATGGTAGCTACTACTTATTGCAGGTCTACATATTTATATGATACACTGCGGCCAAAACTTATTCACGAAACAAACATCGATTTTCTTTGTGAACTTGTTGATATTCTCAAAGTTGAAGTCCTGGGGGAACAGCTAAGCCGACGGAGTGAATCCTTAGCTGGATTACGTCCTACATTACAAAGAATTCTTGCAGATGTTCATGAGCGGTTAACTTTCCGTGCTCGGACACATATTCGTGATGAGGTGACTCTTTTAAATTCTTGAATTTTCCAATATGGAACTTTGTGTAACTCTTGTTTTTTGTCCTTTTATTTGAAACTGGTTGTTATAGGAGGTGATACTGCAAATTCCTGTAATTGTATTCCTAGATTGTAATTGGAGATAATCCTGATTCTCTCCACATTAGCATGCGTGTCCGACTTCATTGGGTATTTCAATCTTATGAGTTCATTTTATTCTGAAGGTGGAAGATGAGTTCATTTTATTCTGAAGGTGGAAGACTCTCGAGTCCTTGTTGAACTTTAGGGATGCTTATTTCATGGCAAGAAAATGAACTAGAAATTAGAAAATTGTAATTGGATATTTTTAAATGTAAATTGTAGTAGTATGAAATGACTGAAAATGGTCCTTTCCTTCCTGGTATTTTATTTTGAATTGCATGCACCATAGTTTCCAGATTATCTGATTCTGGAGAAACTACTTTATTTTTCAAGTACATTTTATTAATAGCTCTCTCTTCTGTTTTAGATAGCAAATTATCTTCCTTTGAGCGAAGACTTGGATTATCCTGCTAAGCTGGAGCAGTCTGCTGAGAAGAAACCTCAAACTGAAATAACTTCTGTAAGGGACGTAATGCTACTTAGCGCTGGTCTGTTTGTTTCATTTTTCTCATTTTTCTTTAATCAAAATGTAGGCTGAAGAAAACCCAGATGTATTCAAGTCGTGGTATCCTCCACTTGAGAAAACTCTATCTTGTCTTTCAAAGTTGTATCGTTGTTTAGAACCAGCAGTTTTTACCGGTTTAGCTCAGGTATTCAAGTAATTGCAGAGTCGTTTTATAAGTTTATTTTCTTGAACAAGAGCTCCATGCCATCTTGTTAAACAATTGGACAATTGGTGGTTTTATGTTTATCAGGAAGCGGTAGAAGTTTGCTCGATATCTATCCAAGTGAGTATCCTTACTTCTCCATGGGTGGAATGTTCATTCTTTCTTGATTTTAAATGCCAAAGTAAAAAAAAAAAAAAAGTAGACTCAACCATTTCATTGCGGTGGGATGCTTCTTTATATGCAGAAAGCAAGCAAGCTCATAATGAAGAGATCATCACCGATGGATGGGCAGCTTTTTCTCATAAAGCATCTTCTTATCTTGAGGGAGCAGGTGATCCTATTTTTGATTGTGTTTCCTGGGTCACCGTTCTATTAGAAACTTGTATTGTTATTCATGACTTCATTTTTCCATTCCAGATCGCACCTTTTGATATCGAGTTTTCAGTGACGCACAAAGAACTAGATTTCTCTCACTTGCTGGTTAGTATTCTTGTAGCTAAAGCTTTTGCCAAGTTTCTTAGGATATGCAATTCGTGTAGTTTTTTATTTTTTTATTTTTTAAATACATACTAAGTCATAATGCCTAGTTTGGTGTTCTACTACTTGCTTTATTTAAATGCTTGTACCTCCCTATTTCCAAGTTATAGCAACAACACTTCATCGTCTAATTTTCCCCAAAAAAAAAAAAAAAAAAATCATTGTCCGATTTATTTTATGGACTTAAATCCATAATTGTTTTAGTTGTAATTTGTAATATAACTTTATTTCAGTTTACCTGAAATCATTCTGGGTCGTTTTTCATCCTGATTTATTTTATGGGTCTTCAGTTGAATGTTGGTGAGGTTTCTCAAAACTTTGCCAAAAGGTCGTGGTGATCTAGGAGTAAATGGTCTTAAAAGCTCATTTCAGATAAAATGTCTAACCTTTCTTAAAAGTTACCTATTAGGAAGGAACGTCTTAATTATTATTGTAATTATGTTTCCAGGATCATTTAAGACGGCTTCTTAGAGGTCAGGCCTCTCTATTCGATTGGTCTAGATCTACTTCGCTGGCAAGGACTTTTTCTCCCAGAGTTTTGGAAAGTCAAATAGATGCCAAGAAGGTTTGTGGAATTTTGTTGCAACCATACTCTGATTCGTATTTTGTTCAACACGTACCCTAGTATTTTGGAACATTTATATAAATAATAAAAGGCAACATAAATGATAATCCTTTCCAGTACTATGTTAGAAAATCTACGGTCTTGTGAAGCGGTCCTTCAAATTAAATTTTTCTTTGGAGGATTTTTTGGTAGGGTGTGAAAAAAGCCCTACTGGTGTTGCGTTATTTTGTCCGTCAGATATATCAAAATTATGCCTGAACAAAATTAAATATATGAAAATGTAACAAAAGTTGGAAGATTTGATGCTCCAGAACTGCAGGCTACTTTTTCATACTTTAGCACATAATTTTTGTTTTTTTTAAGCTGTTCTTTGCAGCATTCAATTTATGGACACTTAAAATGTAAACCAAGATAATAATGATTTGGCATCTTTATTTCTCTGTGGCCTTTTTTTTTTTATGGTTGTTTCCTCTAAGATAATCCTTATATTAAAGTTCCTCTGATTGTCCTAAGACTAAGTTTGAATTTGTAAGATCTTATTTTTCTGCTGGGAGATTTAAAAATACATAAATTATGAATGACCACATCACTCCTTTCTTTACATTGATAAGTGAAAAGTTTATAGAATGGGATTTCATTTTGTAATAAAAAAGGAAGAAGAAAAAAATTCAATATAAGCCTTCATTCTTTTTACGTTTTACTCTTATTAACAAATTTTCTTGCAGGAGCTCGAGAAAAGCCTAAAGGCCACCTGTGAGGAGTTCATTATGTCAGTCACTAAGTTAGTCGTGGATCCTATGCTTTCATTTGTTACCAAGGTTTGCCCTTTTTCTCGTCACGTTGCTTGAAACTTGTGTGCAAAACTATGCTGGATAGCAGATAAAGACTTAAAGTTAACAATTTAAAATGCTGTTGAAACATCATAGAAATCCTCTTTTCATCACTGGATTGCCTTTATTTATACAATCAAACATTGTCTTCATAGCCACCTGGAATTCAAGAGGGACAACCGTGTCTAAATGTTGTTTTCTGTGTGCGTGTTTTATAGGTTACAGCTGTGAAAGTTGCGTTGTCCTCTGGTAGCCAGAACCAAAAGCTAGAATCGGCTATGGCCAAGCCTCTCAAGGATCAAGCTTTTGCCACCCCAGATAAGGTGGCCGAACTCGTTCAGAAGGTATGTTGGTGCACTTTTCTTTTGTTCACCTCTTAAGAGAAGGCTAAGGAGGGGAAAAAAAAAAAAGTGGGGCGGAAATTTACCAACATGGAATTGACATCCTACAGCTGAAGGAAATAAAGAAAATAAAGATAGTGCTGGAGAAATCCAAGGAGCCAAAGATCCAATCTTGCGGAAGCTTGTGATAAATCTTACTTTGGAGTTGATAAGGGACAATTGGATGACACACTCACTTCCCTTCTGAGTTCTTGTTTGACCTCTTAATTGACACCGACAATGGTTCTACTGAAGTGATTTCCTAATAATTCTATTTCTGGAACAGGTGAATGCTGCGATTCAACAAGAGTTGCCAACAGTGATAGCGAAGATGAAACTTTATCTGCAGAACCCATCAACACGAACTATACTATTCAAACCGATAAAGTAAGTTCATGATTCACATCCTGTTATGATCTCAGGAGTCAGGAATTGATGCTAGTTCTACCAGTCTCTCACCAACTTTGTTTGCCTTTTTCGTACCGCAGGACAAATATTGTTGAAGCTCATGTACAAATACAATCCCTGCTGAAGTCCGAGTACTCGCCTGAAGAGATACAAAGCATCATTAAGATGCCTTCCACACAAGATTTGGAAGCACAGCTTGATAACTTCCTTTAGGGTGCATGGGAAGCGCATCGAATCTCATAAAGCATACAAATCCATTTGATGATCTCTGAGGCTTAACAGTTTAAGCTTTATGAGTAGTAGGAAAATCTGCAATATCTGGAATCTTTGGGTGAAAACGATATATGTATTCTTTTTATACGGACATATTTTGTTTTTTCAATTTTTGCTCAGTTATATGTATCAATTTTGATATTAAATACTCGATAGATGATTCTTGCGGGAGCTCTTGTCTAGCAGAATATCCGTCATTTTATATATGTGTAGCTTTTAGAAAAACATTGAATTCATGATTGAGGTACAAAATGTATCATTTTTGTTGCTGGTATTCATCCTTCAAATTATCATTGGAACCAACCCACCCAGATTAAGCGGAGTGTGCTATAGGAGGGTTAATAGTAAATGATGTCTGTATTGTGATTTTAAACGTTTAACATGTATATTTTCTGCTCTATTTTATGGGTTAATCCCATTTAACCCACAAATGGTCTTTGAGGTTTGATTTCAATCCCATTTTGATTCTTCCCTTTAAAATCGTCCCACAATTAGTTCATGAAGTTTTATTTTATTTCAGTTTCGATCTTTCAATTAGTTAGGTGTTAAATATTTGACGGATTCTATAAAATTAGAGATGAAAATTCAAAGCATTTAGAGACAAACAATACAAAAAAAATAAAAAATAAAAGTTCATTTTTACAGTCTCTAGACTTTAGGTGTTTTTAATTTTAATATCTAATTTACAAAGATTCTATCAAATATTTAACGCTTAATTAACGGAAGGACCAAAACTGAAACATAATAAAACTTTAAGAATCAACTGTGAGACATTTTATAAGTTATGAACTAAAGTTAAATTGAGTGTAAACCTCAAGGAACATTTGTAAAATAGTTTGAGTAATGGATTGGAATGTATAGAAAATGATAGAATTAAATTTTAGTTTAATCCAATCACGTGTTTGGTGTTTGGTGTTGTGTTATTAAATTAAAGGAGTTTTTGTAAATTTTTAAATGTTTGGACCAAATTGTAATTTTTCAAAACTTGAGAGGCTAAAATATAATTATCGTAAAATACTTGTCATATAAAAATTGTATGTTGACCCTCAATTTGTTAAAAAATTACAATTGGACCCAAATTTTATAAAAATTTACAAATAAGTTCCTAAGGTTTTTCACAATGTGTTCTAGTTAAAAGTTAACTGATGCTTCAACAGGGGATAGCAACTACCCCTTCTAAGAGACAAGTTTATTCAAACCAGTCCTTTAAAAATGTTCAACCAAACACAGTATAAGATTGAATCCTATCCAATCTTAGTCACTAAACGACCCTTAAGATATTCTTTGATAGATATACCATAGAATAAATTATGTGACATTTAGCGGTTCTTGAAGGCAATCAATTGACTTGTTTTAACAACTGGTATGAGAAAGAAACATCAAATGCACATTTAGGATTTGTAAAGTTTATTACTGATGAAGAACACAAAGGGGAAATAAACTATGCTCCCAAAACGATAGTTTATAATACAGTTACTCTGGGAAGATGTCCAGCACTATACTCCTACAGAAAAAATTCCTGGCATCTTCCCTCTTTCCTATGACCCAAAAAAAGGGGGAAAACAAGAAAAAAGAATCAATACATGGATATACCTAGAGAATACACAAAAAAGAAAAAGAAAAAGAAAAAGAAAAAGGGGGGCTGATTTTTTAAATTATTCAAATGTAAATGATTTTGAACTTACATCTTCATGTACACGCAAAGCGGTTCGACCTTATTAATATCACAAGTCCCACCTTGCACGTTTTCTTGACAAAGATCAGATTGGGACCCACTTGGAACAATCGTTGGGGGGAACCACTGATCTGGCACCATAAGAAAATAGGCTGTCATCGCTTTCCTGAATCGTTTCTTGTACTGCTCAGGTGAAATCACCGTCGGAGATGTATTCTTTTGTCCACCGAGGAAGCCCGACGTCTTCACCCAAGTTTCAAGGTGTTTGTCCCATGTATATTGTCTCATAAAATCAATGATCCCAAGAACCAGCTCGTGTTTTTCCTCGTCCACGCCAACTAGTAGTGAGTAGTCCATCACGTCAATTGACTGTAAGATATCCATGCATAATTAGCAAAAGATCAAACAACGAAATCATAAACTCTAAAAATTCATTTCAAGTGCTTCACAATAGAAGAGAGATTTTAAAGTGTTACTCTAAATCCCATGTTAGAGTTCTAATTATTTTATTTTATTTTGTTAGAATTCTAATTATTAAAACAAATTCCACCACATCATACGGCCATAGTCTTAGCTCTAGTTGTTTAAGTAAAAGTAATCACGAGGAAATTCTAATTTTAATACGTCATAATAGCAGTATTAAGACAGGAGGTCAAATCCAACTTACAGCAAGGAATGACGTATCATTCCACACAGCTCTCTCTAGCAGCCGCTTTGCCTTGTTCCCTACGAAAATTGGCGAAGTTGGCATTGCTTCAATCAGGTTCTGATCCAGCAGAACCTTGTTGCTACCGCTTGTATCTGGGTTATATCGTGATCGAGAAGACCCTTTAAGATCATACAGCCGGGTAACATTACGCCTGAACAAAAGATTCTCCATCACCAAAACATCCATCTTGGATTCTTTCCCCCCCTTAACATGCTTTGACGAAACCTTCAAACACCAAAAGAAAGACAAAACCGCAATTAGTAATCAAGAAACTAAAAAGCTAAAGGACCCAAATTAAGCTTTTTAATAGATAACAAAAAAACAGTGCCAGATAGTAGATAGTCTGACCAAACTCAGTTTCTTGTTCAAAATCCAAGAATCAAAATGCCTTTTTATGAAATCCTTACTAAAAAGAAACACTTCAATACAATGAAAAATATGTTTCGAGTTGCAAGCAGAAACGTATACTGGTCTTGAACCCAAGTACTATTGGACTGGTTACGAGCTCAAATGACTGCAAAAATAACCAATCATACCTGATAAATACCAAGAATCTTTGCCAAACAAGTTGGACTCCCGGTACTGATTGACTCGGACAAATACTTGAAATAAGCAGGTCCAAACTTGATAAAAGACTCCAGCTCTGTCTTTGTAACCTGCTTTATAATAAATCGATCATCCAAAGTTTTTGCAAAGAAAACATTGCTTTTGCCACCCTGGGCGCCCCACTTCTTACAGCGGCTAAGTGATCGTACAAAATCTAATTCAGACGGACAACATATCCTCCTTAGAGCCTCAAAGCGCTTTGCGCAGTAACAAGTCACTGTATACTTCACCTTCCCAAGGGGGCCATCATCTGTAAAAGAAATTCTAGCATGCAAGTCTTTTGAATAGAGAAGTGGGTCCACAGATTGAGAGCTGCGTGATCCAGAACTGGATAATATGCTTTCATCACCAGAACCTAAACTTCTGTAGGTATCAGCAACTGACTCATCAAAAGAGTTAAGTGAGAGCAGATTAAGTGAATCAAGAAGTGGTAAAGATACTGAAGCATCTCCAGCATCTTTTGGCTTCTCAGATTCAGACATCTGCAAATGATAATCTGACGAAACAAGTGTATATGCTATAATACTAGTGGGTTCATCATCATAAACAGGGACAACAGTGTCATTAATACCAACAGGCAGAAGCAGCCTGGCACCACTTTGCCGTTCCAATTCTCGAAAGAGTAAAACATAGACAGGATTGTAATCGCCACTGCAAAGCTTTTGAGAACCCAAAGACAAATTCTTGTTGACTGAATTATTGAAGTTCGAAAAAGGCATGCTTGCCAAGCTTGTGGAGCTTTCTACATTGTCGAGACTCTTAAAAGATATGGAAGACCCAACAGAACGAGTTGCCTCAATCTTACCTTGGTCGGAAGTAGAATTTTCCAGTTTTTGACTTGTTGAGACTGTATTTACTACAGTCGAATCAGCAGAAGAATAGCCATCCTCTTTAGGTGTTATACTTGTTGGGTATTCACCAGTCCATGCAGCATCAAGGGTATCAGATAGATCTGCCACTATTGGATACTCCCCATCCGAATGGGCCGTCCTTAATAACTTTGCAGATTCCAGAGGATCAGATTTTTCATTGACATTTGCACCAGAAGAAAGACATACCTCATCTTCATTCCTATTACTCTGGTCCAGGCCAGTTTCATTTCCGCTCTGAGGTCCACCTGACTGTAAAACTTGTCCAGCATTCCCTTGTTGATTAAGAATAATATCCGGCTTTGTTTCTAAAAGAAAAGAATCACAACTACTAGAGCCTTTAACTGGCTTTGTGGTTGCATCCATCTCAGTAATCTTCTCCACAAAACCGACGGTTTTCTCCTTAAGTTTCGGGGTGGGACTGCTCAAGATTTCCTGTACATTGTTGCTATTCAAACTGGCTGCATGTATCAAACGTTGGTCCCAAACATACGAATGGAATAGTATCTGTCTCCGCAATTTATTTATTTCAAGAATATCCATTGCAGGTTGGCCTGCTTTTACTTCCCTGAACCATGCTTTTTGTAATGATTCCTACAGAATGCCAATAACCAATAAGAAATAACTTAACAGCAGATACCACACTTCCTATTTACAGAGGGAAATAGACCAAAATAAATAATAAATGATAAACCTCTATTCAGTAGAGACAGACAACCAGGTCGTACATTACAGGATAAACCTGTTTTATTGTGTCATTTTCGAAAACTAAGATGATTGCTGTAAATTGCAAGAGATAATTTGACTAAAATTCTGGTAGTAGAAAAATTCATTGATCAGACAAAATTTTCCTCCTGATAAATGCTTCAGGCCGTCTAAGACCAGTGCATACTATTGTTCCCGTAGAAATTAGAGAATATTTGTGTTCATTAGGATCACGGAATTAAGGGATTTCTAAGAATTAAGGGATTTTGATTTTGTGTTTTATTTTTTCCCTGGATAAAGATTTGGGTAGGTTGTTACCCGAATTAGATTTTCCTAGATTAGTCAGAGGAATAATTTTAGGAGATTAATTGTCTGTATCCCATAATTAGAGGGAGGAGTTTATCTTCTCTGCCCCATTTAAGCCCCCTTGTATTTTCCCATGATCGATGAATGAAGAGAATTACACTTCTGTCAGTAATTATTTCTTGAGTTCCTAATCATGATTTTATGCAGTCAATTAATTCATTATGCATTTCACATGAACTAAAAGACTTCCCTCCCGTACAAATCTGGGTCAGACTTCTCTTTACCTCAAACTCCTCTTTCTCCTTTTGTAGCATTCCCTCAAGTTCTACATTTTGCTGCCTTGATTCAAGTGCTCTCATGGCAGCATCTTGTGTACCGACAGGTAACATCTTCTGTGAAATCTGATGAAGAGCATTCTGCACCTCAGTAAACAGGAGCTCTGCCAGTTTACGCACCTGTTGGACAAGAGCAAGATCACATAAGCATTTAGCAACGCAAAATTACTCTGTAGTGAAAAAACTCATTAATTGTGATCACTGCACCTCATTTGCTTCTTTTTGTATCCACTCCTGATCAGCATTGTAAAATTCTAGTTTGGGTAGTGGCAGATAAACAGAGTACAAATTAATTGATGCGTAGCGAAAGCAAGCAACCATTCTTCCAAAGCTGTAAAACGTAAAATCAATAATGTAAAGAGACAGTAAAAGAGACTATTGAAGCAAAATTTATGAGCTCTTGCTTTGTGGACCTATGTAACCCAGGAAGCTAAATGAACTATAAACATAAATAGATAAGATTCCCTAAATCCATAAATATAATGATAGTACTATGAAGAATTCAAAATTGATTTTTTTTTTAATTGATGAGAATTCATGCAAGTCAAGGGGGAAGCATACCCATAAAACCGGAGACAATCTCTGTGAAGGGAATGACCACAGCTGGCAACCCTGCTGGCTGCTGCATGATTTGAAAAGCTTAGCTCCAGAAATTTTCCAAAAGACAAACCCCATGCAGCATTAGACATCACTACTCTTCGAGTGGCTGGAGGGAAGCCATTGGTTCGAGGACACCTTAAACACCGGTGCCACATCCAGATTTTACCTTCCTTTTCCCCTGGTAAGAGACACTCCGAAAGTTTCTTAACAGATATTGTGAGGCTCCCTTGTCTGTGAGTATAACAATGAACATGTGCTTCTGATGGCATACCACACGTACGACAGTGATAACTCTGATAAAGAAGAAAATCTTAGTTGCAACTTTCTCATGCAACTAGCAAAAATCAATTATCAAAAAATGAAAATAAAAATAAGAACCTCTAGCAAGAGAAGAGATGTTAAACATGGGCTAAAAAAGGGGATGATTAAGCAAGCAAGGAATACCTCATCAAACAGGTGATCACGTAAAAAACGTCCCAAAGGTTTATCAAAGTTCCCATAGTATTTGATTCGAAAAAGATGGGATCGCTCGCACACAGTTCCTTTCCACACACAGCGTGTAGATAATGAGACCAAAATACTTTGATGGTCTGAAGGAGAGGGAGGAAACTCTTCCTTGAAAGGTTCGAACCCCTCATTGTGATCATTTTTCTTTTGTCCAATAGATGCCAGCTTAAGGGACCCTTGGTGATTTGCAACCAATGTATTGCTTTCTGCATAACTAGTGCTATTACCTGGTCCATTAAGCTCTGACGTGTCGAAAGAATTAGAAAATAAGCTACGATTCTCCATAGATTCTCCAGTGTTGGATGTTTTACCCTGAAAAGGATATTCAGGACCCAAAGTATTTGTATTCTCCGAGACACCAACAGGGAAAAGTTGATTATTGGAGCAAGCTGAGTTATCTTGTTCCAAAGGGCACAAGGAAGCAGTAGATACTCTTGATTTTGGGGAATGATGAAGAGCTACAGGGCAAGTGGAATCCTCTACTTCCAATTTCAAAATCGGGTTACAGTTGCTAGATAAGTCCCCCTGTAAAATGGTGCCTTTGTTGGATTTCTCTGTTTCACTGGCAACTTCAGTACCCAGAACTTTCGCAGTAGCGGGGATACTATAACCAGCTACGATGGAAATGGACCTGCCAAGACTTGATGGCTTATCAGGTAATGCAACATTTATTGGAGACCTCAGAGGGAGTTCTGGAAGTGTAGCTCCTTCGTCAGCCAGAAATGATGTCTCCAAAGCCAAGTGATAAGCCGCAAAAACTCCATATTGAACAACATGTTTCACCTTCTTTAACTCGTCTCCACTAGCACCTTTAAGCAGAATCTGAAACAAGGTCAAAGAATATATCCATATCAAAACTTTATATTAACTATATAACGAGAACCAAGATATTGGGACCCCACAATATATGGGTTCCTAGGAACATCCCAAGTCTGACTTTCACAAGCAACAATCTCTTTTACATGAGCCATTTGTTTCCTTAAGTCTACATGGAAAAGCTAAACTAACCAAGAAACTACTTTGTAGAGATAGCTAAGGAAAAGAATAGCTAATCAAGTATGATACACCTAAAATTTCCAAAATAAATCTAAAGAGAGAGAACTTAACTGAGTTCTTTTGTTATGCGGATGTAATGCAGAACTTACCGTACAACCCAATGGTTTTGGGCACCCCTCGAAGAACATTAGATTCTTCATTAACTTCTTCCCACCTTGGCCTGCACTGCCATGCTCTTCAAGTAATTTCTCTACATGGAACATATCACAATGGCCCAATTTTGGTGATGTGAGATGATCAATGGAAGAGACTATATGTGCCCCCGTGCACCGGGCTATGCGCTCTAAAAGTGGCCTCTTAATATTCAAAACAAGTGATATGTTCTTGGCAAGAAGATACTCTTGGGCATACCGAGACACTGACTTCTCTACCAAAAGAACATCAGGGTGATGAGCATCAATCTTAGCAACTGCCATCTTCAAATGGTCCATTTCCTATTTAAGAAAATGGGAGTTACAAAGATCACGAGAACAAGACACCCAAGAAAAAAGTTTCTAAAGAATTGGAACATTTCAATCATTACATTCCTTGTGAAAGCTGCTAAGATGTAATATTTAGCTAAAAAATAACCTAAAAAAAAGGAAGAGGTAACAATTAAAACCTGCTGCAACAACGTATCAAAACTGGACAAGAGGTTAGAAATGCGCTGATACTCCAAAGCTCCTCCAAGAATAAGAAAGCGCGGTTTATTTACCCTTGTTGTCATTCGCCGATGAGCCACATTTTTCTTACAAACAACTCCTTTAACCGCCATACTAGAAAGTAGAAAAATGAAATATAATCAGCATAACATAATAACGTAGATACAAAAAGAACAAGGCAGATACAAAAAGAACATGCAAACATAATTAAGCAAAGGCCAGTATATGGATGATGGATCTTATGAGTTGGCAATACGCTTTAATTCACCCCTGCTTCATTCAGCTTCCTCAATGAAAATATTGAAAACCATTTTGTGTGTGCAGTCTACAAGAGAAGTAAACTAAAGTAGTTGAAATGAATGTAGCTTTGCAAAATTACCTCTCACTGCGACGCCCGCAAGCTATGCATTTAACCTTCACATATCCCCCAGGATCCATCCCTCCGCCTTTGCTCATATCTGGCTTAAGAAGAGAGGCAGCTTCCCATGACAAAGATGTCACTATCTCCAACCAACTCTCTTTGTCATCATCATCACCTACAGGTAGGTTCTCAACCTGCAAAAGCTGAGTCACCAAAGCCCTAAAATGCCCCTCCACCACATTTTTCATGGCATTCCTGTGCTCCTCACTAGTCTTCTCCCTATTACGATACTCCCCACTTCCAAAGCTGTTTGAAGAGCGTAAATACCCCCACTCACCAGTAGCACCACTCTCCTCCTCATCATCATCTAATAAGACAGCTTCTCTGTCATCCTCTTCATCCTCCGGCTCTGGAGGGATCCAAAGCAGTTCATTGCTCTCAAAATCTACAGGCTCAACATTCGTGCTCTCCACATCAAATGAAGGAGCTTCACGTTCATCATGATTGTCCCGTTCATCTTGTTTCCCAACTTTTGCAGTTTCCGCTTCACCATGTAAATCATTATTCTCAGGTATGGCTGAGAAACTCAAACTTTTATTGTCAATGTTATCTTCGTTAGGATGCACATTATGTGGCCTATAGACCTGACCAATCTCATCAATACTAATTGCACCATAATAGCCATCAGCTTGGGAAAAATGTCTTGTTTCTGAATCTGAATGATAAAGACCATAATCATCATCCTCATCATCACTCCTGAAGCAGAGGATAAGGAAGAAGTCAACTACAGACTACAACATAAAAGCATCAAAATGCATGAAGATGAAATAAGTTATTTAAAACCCAGATACCTAGACATGACAGATGAACTCACCATCGGAAGTCTAAGGGTGTGTTTGGTAAGGGGATTTGTACCCTGATTCGAATCATGGTTCATGGTTCGCTATAGTGTTTTCTCTCACAAAAAATACACGTAAATCAAAAATGGTTTTAATCTCATGATTCTAATCCATGAACCAAACATCTCCTAAATGTCCTGGCAAGGTAGAATGAGCATTAAGGGGAGAAGCAACATGTCAAATAAGATATATTAAACAGACAAAGTTGCTTATGAAATTAGATGTCTTATTGCACTCTTCCCACACCCTCTCTTACGTCTAACTCTATTCTAGAATTGAAGTCAAATGTAACATCAAGAACTATAAGTATGATGCTTTCGCACAGCACACATGGTATAATTGAAGGAGGCATAACCTACCTATTACTGCAAAAGCTGTATTGTTTGGGCGGTGAATCCTCCATGACCGCGTTAAGATTTGTATTCCTCTGAGATGCTATGTTCCCTTCCTGAGACGTAACCGAATCCATTTGGGCGGATTGATGAGGGCTAAAACTAGAACTAGATGGAACATGCTGGTAAGGACCAGTCGAGTAAGGCATGGAACCAACAGTGCTACTGCTACTTTGGCAGGTGCAGCTGGACTGTGTGCTGGCCAAGCTTGTTGCTGATGGCGATGGACTAAGCCCAGGGCTGGTACCGCTCGGTTGTGCACCAGCCCCATTATCGGCCGTTGCTATCCCCTGCTCCCACTGCCTGTAGCAATAACTACAGACCCTGATCCTCTCGCAATCTTCGCGTCCAGTCCTGGGACTCCTGGGCTCATTTGACAGAGCGGGAATAGAGTTCGCGGTACACTTGGCGCAGAAAACTCGGCCACAGAGTCGACAATGATGCCTGCGGTTAAATACTGTGAACTGAGAGTCACACTCGTAGCATACCCGGCAGCTCTGATCGGGCATCCAAAAGTCCCTGGAAACATTCGCCGGCTCGGACCTTCGAGGGATCCAGGACCTCACTATACCAACTAGCTCAGACAGCGTTTTATCGGGGGTGCCCATCGAAAACAACCCGCCCAATCCCACTCATCATGAATGGGTCATTGGCCACTCCCGGAAAGAAATCCCCTCCACAAATCACTTCAAAGACCTAGCATTTAGTAAACAACCCCAAACATGGACATTAACAGATTGAAAAACGCCAACAAATCCAAACCGTTTCTGAACTCAAAATTCAAAAATCAAACAGTTGAAGAATTTCCCAGAACGCATTGGACCTCAAAAACATCATCCAAAGTCATAAACTATAAACCATGAGATTCAATTCAGAGCTTACAGAATTGATCACAAATGTATATGCATGAAACTTCATCATGCACATCAAAATTCAAACTTTATAACCTCAATTGAACTTTTACTGAAAATCTATACACGAAATGGTAATCGAACAATATAAACAAGAATTTACGAATCGAAAAGTACCTGAGAAGTCAATCTTAAAGTCGAGAATTCCCAAACCAAAAACCCAACCAAAATTCAGCAATTTCCCTCGGCAACTATCAGCCACTAGAGTGAAATTCAGTATCGGAGTGGTTGGTAAAGTGGGTTTAATCCCAAATCCACTGAAAAATTCACAAAAAAATTCTTTCAGAAAACTTCAAGTCGATTCCGAGTAAAATAGACAGAAAAATTTGAAACTTGTTTGAAATCAAAAGAAGAGGAAAAAAAAATTCAACACAAGTAAAACAGAAGCGAAGAGAAACCCTAAAAATCAACAGGACGCACAGAATCTTCATTGGACCCCACAAAACTTTCCCGCGATTCATCTGGTCTCATTTCAGAGCACAACCGCGCAAGAATCAGAGATCTCCCTCACAATTCATATGTTCAATAAATATAAAAAAATTAACAAAAAATGATAATTCAAAGAAAAAAAAATATATATAGTTTTTTTTTTTTGGGTACACGATGAAGCTGATTTTTGACACGTACTTTAATTTGTGTATTACATAGAAAGCTGTCCGTATTATATACCATGCATATATATATATATAGATATATCATATATGTATTACATATAAACCACAAAAAAAAAAAAGGGGACAAAGGAAAATGATAAAGCACATGAAAGACTTCACTTGAAATCTGGCAATTTGCGCTTCCACTTGTATTGTTGATTATTCATAAGTATAAAAATTATCACAACTTATACGTGTGTGTGTGTGTATATATATATATATTCTTAAACTAAGTACAAGTCTTCTAAGCCACTTTAATGGTGATTCAACATATACTTTTTTTTTTTTTTTTTTTATGCGGCAACCACAATTTCCAATCTTTTTCTCTTCTTCTAAGGCTCAATAGTAAAATAGAAAAGGATTTTGTTTTTCCATATTATTTTAGTATATTTCAATGGAAATTTCACATTTATTATTTTTTAAGCAGAAATGAAGATTTATTTGTTTTCCGCCACGTAGAAAAAGAGTTTCTTTTTATTGGAACCGCACGAGTCTCATCCGGTGATAATCCGTAATTATTATTTTGTGAAAAAATGTATAAAGTTACTTGTTTTTATTTTCTGTTTTTTTTTTAAGTTTAAAATCTCTTTATTTTACCGGTTTGAGTTTAAAATTTTAATTTTATTATAAATAAAAAATTATCATAAATAGTCATATTTAATTTTTTTGTTACAATAAAAAACTCTTACATAAAGTCACATATCAATTCGAATTAAAAACTCAAATCAACAAATTAAACGGACCTTCAAGCTACACATTATTGCTATTAATAACAAAAAAAAAATAAAGAAAGAAAAAAAAATAGAGATAGAAGTGTTGTGAACTGCCAGGTAATTTAAATCATATGAGAAAGTTAGAAATGCGGCAAAATTTTACTAATCATGTTGAAATATGATATGTTGAAATATGTATTATTGTTTAATAATACAGTAAAGTCTGCTGTTTGTTTATTTTAATAATATGGCCGAATTTTAGAAGTTTTCTTTGTAATATTCTAATATTAATCTTGTCTTTCACATATCTCATATCTCACATCTTTTTCTCTCCTCTTTATCTACTCACTAGAAAAAATGGCAAAAAGATCCGCGAAGGAGAGATTCGACGAAATCTCATATTGTTGTGGCAAAAGCCGAATTTCTGTTTATTTTATTAATTTAAATTTAAAATTTAAATTTTATTATAATAAAAAAAATTTAAAAATAATTACATTAAAAAAACTAAATGAGTCTTAAATCTACGGCGGCGGCAGAATCTCTCCTCTTTTTTTCTTTCCCAACGACTATGATGGTGTGACAGCAAACCAGTGCAATTGATGAAGGCTATTTTTGTCTTTTTCTGTTTAATCATTAATGTAAAGCAGGTCATTTCACTAATTTAAAAAAGTTGTGGCTGTCTACTTTATATTGGCTTGTAAATCAGCCATTTATATGATATCCCTTCTTTTCTTCACCACTATTCCTTTGAGGGCTAACATCATGTTTAATTTGGACCAAATCCTGTTTTAAGAGATTGGTTTTGTAAAGGATTATTTTGTGTTTTTGAAAATAACAAGATTGAATATTGTACTGTATTTGAACTTAAAATGCAAAAGAGCTTTCATCCTCAACCCCCAAAAAGAAGTTAAGGGTAGTTTAGTTCGCTGATTTGAGTTTTTAGTTCGAGTTGAAATATGACTTTATGTAAGAATTTTTTATTATAATAAATTTAAATCGATGAAATGAACAAGATTTAAAAAAACTTTATTAAATAAAAGACTTCTTTTATGGTGCATTCTAGAATTGTGATACATTAGTGCAGCTAAGTGTTTTTATCATTGTATTAATTTTCAATGATTAGATCTACAATATGAGCAATTTTGTGTGACGCATTGTAAATTTTAAGACAAACTTATATAAAATTGACCATTAAAAAATTAATCTAAAGGTAAAAAAATATTTGCTCCACTAGTAGGTCACAAATGAAGGATGCATGTATAGTTTTCCTCAAATAAAATAGGGAAGTATATACGCAAAATCCCTTTTAAAAGTTTATTTTTTTTTTAAAAGTGATTATTATTTACTTACAACAGAAGTTATCATCATTTCGTATTATTTGCATTTGTAACATAATGAAAATTTCATGCAATGATCATAACAATGTAACTTCTTTTTTTCCCCTCAATTATTGTTCTAAATACATTTTATTCAAAAGAGGGAGAAAAAAATTTAAAAAAAAAAAATATCAAAAGAAGAGGAATAAGGAAAGCAAAACAAAACAAAATTTCTCTGGCTTTCTGTTGTAGGAGAAAGTTGAAAATGGCTTCACAACAACAGTGGTAGGGGCATGTGTTAGATTTGCTACTCAGGAAAAGCCAAAGGAATAGCCATCCTTCTCACGAGTCGTGACTAGATAAGGAAGACAGCTAGCCAGTAGTTATAACTATCTTCAGAGAGAGAGAGAGAGAGAGAGGAACTTTACTGTATTATTAAAAAAAAAAAGGCATTTCAACAGAAAGAAGAAAAAAGAAAACCAGCCCAACTTTATGAATTATTTCAAAAAAGAAAGAAATCCCAACTCTATGTGTTCTATGGATAAAACCAAGACCATCTACGAGTATGCATAACCACAAAAGTCAAACGTTGATACTCATAGCGCGGTTCATTTCTCTAGTTCAAATCATAATTTAAATTTTTATTATAGTATTTTTTTTTTATAAAATTTTAAATTTATTTTTTTATTATAGTATTTTTTTTTTATTTTTTAACTCAAATTTTCAATTTGAATAAGTGAAATTAAGACCTTAGAATAAAATTATGACAGTGATAGGTTGATGAATCTGTTACAAATCTTCGAACATACTCGAGAGGGGGCAGAAAAACAAAAGAAAAAAAGAAACAAAAACGTTATTGTCTCCTTTGTCCCAGGACCCCAACCCCACAAGAGATAAGAGTAGATGTCATTTAACTAGCATAATCTTTTCTCGTGTGATCTAAGAACAGTGCTTACAGTGATAGGATTGGCAAATTACACGCCGTCATTGGCCTGAGCAAAGTAATATCTTGCAATAGAGATTTGCAATAAGCTCCATCAACCAGTATGCAACTTTTTGCTTACCACGGCTTGACGACTGTGTGATTGCCATCCAGCCGAATTAAACGGCATCGAGAGAGCAATTGGTTCTGACCATTGTCCAGTCTCGGAACAATAGATTGACACATTAAACACAACAGAAACTAATCGGGATTGCTAGATTAGTTGCGCCTTGAACCTAATCATTGGGTAAATATTGCCCAATCCAAGTGATTTGTCGTTGCAGGTGCAATCAAGCACCAATGCGCACATGGCATTCTTGTCGTCTGTCGGAGCCCGAGGGAGCTCAAGCAATTGCCCGGTTAGAGGATTGTAGATATAAGTCTTGTTCAGTTCTCGTAGGTAGATAGTTTTCAATTCGAATTGAAATATGACTTTATGTGAGAGTTTTTAACTGTAATAAAAAAAATTAGATGTAATTAGATATAAGTCTTGTTCAGTTCTCGTAGGTAGATAGTTTTCAATTCGAACTGAAATGTGACTTTATGTGAGAGTTTTTAACTGTAATAAAAAAAATTAGATGTAATTTTTATAAAAATTTTTAATTATAATAAAATTGGAATTGAAAATTTTGAAAGAAACAATGCCATAGTAATCTGTCGGACTGCGTTCCACCACCAATAAGTCCTGCCGAAGTTGTTATATTAGTATTGTTTACCGGCCAAGGCAAAAAATCTAGACAAGTTTCATCCTCGCCAATAGTTTTCTTTGGTTTTTCGAAAGATAAGTAATGGAATTTTGAAAAGATTCCGTGAGATCCACGGTATTCAAATAGAAACTTACATAGGATCTGTGGAAACTGTCTACGGTTTGTGGTGGTGCGTGAAGTTGCAGATGAATTGCGGTTGGGAAATCAAAGAGAACCAGCGCTTGCAGACGGTGCTACATCTGATAATGGATCGGGAATCGGGGAGACGAAGAAATATTTCGAGCAGCAAATCATCGGAAACGACAGAAATGAATTTAGATGCTTGCTCTGATATCTGCGGTGGTTTTCCATTAATTTTGCTTTTTTTAACTAATTTTCTCGCAACAAGCAGTTTTGCTGGTAATAATACGCTTACTGCCCTCTCGCTCCACCTCCACCATGATCGCAAATATTATGATCGATGATGACGGCTTTCTCTATGAGAAGTCAAGACTTATATCAGCATATATCTATATCTATATATAAACCTAATGCGGTCTCCAAAGCTTTTGCTTTGAATGAAGCTTTCCCATTTCAGAAAAATTAAAAAAAAAAAAATTAAAACGAAACATAATTGAACACGAGCATTTATAAATATAACAAATCATTCGGAAAACGACATCAAGTGATCAGTAGAAAAGTAGATGACATTGGTTGAACGAACGGCAATAAAATTTAATAACTTTCAAAGAGAAATCGAGATATATAAAAAGAAACCACAATATCTGAACTTATTATATGACGTTAAAAGCTATGAAAAAGGGCATTGAGTGGAAGAACGACTTACGACATGAACCTGAAAAGATGACACAAACATCCAAACAAAGACGACAGTGACAGTGAGACGACCTTAACTATGGAAACGACATTCATTTTTAGGTTACTGACTTGAGAAAAATAAATAAAAATAAAAAACAGAGATTAAATTGATAGACAACAACAACCTCAAAAATGCCCATGAATGTTATAAAGGATAAAAACTTAACAAATGACAACAAATCGATTTTTTTTTTTTTTAAAAAGATATGGAGCGCTTAAGATACTTTTAGATTTTTTTTTTTTTTTTTTAAAGCATAGAGTGTAGTTTTAACATTTGTTTTAACAAAAGACACACAAATGATATTTCGATTAAACTCGTAGTATCTAGGGTATTATGCCAATAATGAAAATCCCAACTATACTTTTTTAAAAAAATAAAAAAGGAGCCCAACATTATGTAAATATATCTCAACTTTATGTGATCTATAGATATTGGATAAAACCAAGACCATCTACGAGTATACATACCCACAAAAGTCAGACTTCGAGACATGAATTCAAAAGAATACAATTTGTCTATTCATTTAACCCAACATACACATTATTCATGAATCTACCATGCATGATCAATAGTTCAATATATCAACATAAAAAGAATGTTTAACGTAAGCCTCTAATTTAAATAAATAACACAAACTGACGTTTGTTTTGTTCTTTCTTTCCAAGGGCAGGTAAATTACATGAAAAAAAAAACTTACTAATCTAGTATACTTAGGCAATTACTAATCTTATTGACATAGATAAGAATAAACATGAATTCATATTTTTGGCTTCAGTTCTTTGGCAGTAAGAGAAATATTGTTCCCCATCTTCTGCTGGTTTAGCAGCAACAACACATTTTTTTGTAAACCATAATGTTGCTTTCCGTGATGGCATTTCTGATCGTGGCATTGATATTAGAGGGCGTCCGATGAGTCTCATTTCTCTTCCGGTCATCATCGGAAAGCGGTGCTGATGATGATGACGGTGATGAGGATTCTTTTCCTTTCCATTTCCGGTGGATAATGTGGACGCAAGGCACACAGGCTTGAGGCAGAGACCTTTGTAAAACAAATCATCTCATTACAATTCCTTTGAGGGCTATCATCGTGTTTAATTTGGACCAATGCCGTTTTAGGGTGGAATTTTTAAGGGATTTACTATGTAAAGGTTTATTTTGTAATTCTTAAAATTACAAGATTAAATATTGTACTGTGTTTGAGCTTAAAATGCAAAGAAATTTTTTATGCATGTAAGAAAAGTCTAGTCAGCTTTCAGGTATTGTCAAGCTATTCAGTTCAACAAGTTTTAATAAAACCAAACTCCTATAAATTTCAGCACAACACAGAAAAATTCTAACACTTTATTCCGACCCCAAAAAGAAGGAAAAAAGTATCAAGTGAAATAAGGAAATATATACTAAAAACCCCTTTCAAAAGTTTTTATTTTTTATTTTTTCAACAAAAAGTAATTATCATTTACTTATAGCAAAAGTTATCATCATTTCGTATTATTGCATTTGTTGGTGAAATTTATGAAATAACATAACGAAAATTTCATGCACATTATAACAATGAAACTTCTTTTCATTCCCCTGAATTAAGGTTCTAAATACATGTTATTCAAAAAGAAATATACAAATAAAAACATCGTAATCTAAAGAAGAGGAATAAGGAAAACAAAACAAAACAAACGTGCACCTTGCTTTCTGTTGTAGGAGAAAGTCGAAAATGGCTTCACAGCATTGGTAGGGACTTGTTTTAGATTTGCTGCTCAGGAAAAGCCAAAGGAATAGCCATCCTCTCAATGTATATATCTATATCTATATATATATATATATATATATATATATATATATATATATATATATATATATATATATATATATATTGAGAGGATGGCTATTCTAAGTTTACTGTATTATTAAAAAGTGGAAAAAAAAAAGAAAAAGAAAGGAAGAAATTCCAACTTTAGGAGACCTATGGATAAAACCAAGACCATCTACGAGTATACATACCCACAAAAATCAAATGTTGAGACTTGTGAGTTGAAAATAATACAATTGTAACAGTGATAGGTTGATGAATCTGTAACAAATCTTCAAATATGCTCGGAAGGAGGCATAAAAACAAAAGAAAAACGAAACAAAAATTGTTGTTGCCTCCATTGTCCCAGGACCCCAAACCCGCAAGAGATAAGAGTACATGTCATTTAACTAGCATAATCTTTTCTTGTGTGAATATCTAAGACCAGTACTTGCATTGATAACATTATAATCTCTTTGTTAAATACATATATTATATATGTATATATATATCTGGAGACTTGTCCTTTTGCAAAATAGAAGCCAAGTATAAACAGAGTTAAGAAACATATGAAATAAAAGTACCAATAACAGTTTTGTTGTCACCATAAATTACTAAAAGATAAAGTATTTAGCCACAAGATAAGTGATTTCTTCATGTATCTGATATCTGAAGACTTGTTACCTGGGATTGAAAACTCGAAAACTTTTTCGCACTTCCTACTGCCAATCTCATATTGATAAATATCAAAATAACCACGTAATAAGAAAAGCACGTTGCCATTTTCTGGATGGAAACAAATCACAAATAACATGTGCCTAGTCAATGTATTCTCCATGTCCACTTTCACATCGTGCACCAAAAGCCAGGAGCTTGAATACAGATCAAAATCATCATCATCGTCATTGTAAATGAGTTCCCAATCTTTCAAAGCAAAGGAGGAATCCCTAACCCAGGTAAGCTGTGACATCTTCCGTCGATCTCGAACCAGTCCAAGCCGCACAAATGGCACTAGAGCTTGCCACTCGCGGCCAAAGCCAATAGGCATGTTAATGAGACGCATGAGTACTTGTTGATTGCCCTTGAATGGATCGAAGGCCACTATGCGTTGGACGTATCCATGTTCATCAGGTAGTACCCAGTACGCAACTCTGTCGCTTACCACGGCTAGACGACACCATGATTGCCATCGATGAAGACGAAACGGAATCAAGAGATTAATTGGTTCTGTCCATTGTCCAGTCTCGGAACAGTAGATCGACACATTAAATAGAGATGCAGTGTCAAATTTTAATCTAGGCCTGCAGATTTGCAGCAGCCTTAACCTATTCATCGGGCAAATGTTGCTGCATCCAATTAGTGATTTGGATTTGTTGCAGGTGCAATCAAGCACCAATGCGCATATGGCATTACTGTCGTTTGTCGGAGCCTGAGGGAGCATCACTAATTGCCTGGTGATCGAATTGTAGATATAGTAATAATCTGTCGGACTGCGTTTCACCACCAATAAGTCCTCGAACGACGTTATTATATCAGTATTACAATGCGACCAAGGCAAAAAATCTAGACAAGTTTCATCATCGCGAATAATATTCTTTGGTTTTTCGAAAGATAACTCGTGGAATTTTTGAAAGATCTCAGTGAGAATCACTGTAGTCAAACAGAAACTTAGAGGTTGTTTGGTTGGGGAATTCGTCCCCTGATTCGAATCATGGTTCGTAGATTTTCACTCACAAAAAATACACGTAAATCGAAAATAATTCTAATCACATGGTTCTAATTCATGAACCAAACGTCTCCTTATACATAGGATCTGTGGAAACTCTCTACGGTTGTGGTGGTGCGCGAAGTTGCAGATGAATTGCAGTCGGGAAGTCAGAGAGAACCAGCGCTTGCAGACGGTGCTACACCGGATAACTGATGGGAAATCAGGGAGACGAATAAATATTTCGAGCAACAAATCGTCGGTGAATATTCCATTAATTTTGCTTTTTTTACTAATTTTCTCGCAAGCACCAGTTTTGCTAGCAATAATACGCTTATTACGCTCTCGCTCCACCTCCACCATGATCAAGAATATTATGATCAACGTATGGCTTTTTCTAGGAGAAGTTAGCAGACTATATCATAAACCCTAAACTCCAAATCCTATAAAAATTTTATTTTAAAAACGAAATCTAGTTTGGAACAATGGCACATGTAATTTAACATGACAACAAAACAAACCTTATGTTTAATTCAACTATTTGAACTAAACAATTCAATTCGAATTGTGCCTAAAGGTTCAAATTAGTGTTTGTTTTAGAAATAAAAATGGACCATTTAAACCATCAACTACCATTTAAATGGTTGATTTTAGAATTCATACTTCCCCGAAAATTCACAATCGCATTGTTAACAACTGTTTGAAACACATTTCTTTTTGTTTTTTCTGTCTCTTCAACTTTAAGCTTAAAAACATCATAACTTTTTCATTTTAATTCTAATTAAGATGATTTATTTTCCTATATATTTATAATGAACAGAGAAAGAAATTCACATCCATATTTAAATACATCGTTTACATTGAGATTTTATAACATTTGTTGCAAAATTCTAATGACAGTTTTTAACACTACCCAATCACAATTCAAATTTTACTCGTAATTCAAATTACAATTTATTTATGTATCTGAAAACACCAGTTTCAATCGCAATTCAAAACACCACAATTTAAATTATACAATTCAAACCAAATTACTACAATTCAAACTGCCAAAATTATTAATAATTAATAAAAGAGTTTATAAAAATAACAAAGCCTTCGGGAAACGACATCGGGTCTCCAATTGAAAAGAACGTTTAGATGACATTGATTGCATGAACGACAATAAACTTCAAAAATAACTTTATGAGGAAAAATCATCAACTATAAAAAGCTATGAAAAAACTGCATTGAGTGGAAGAACGAGTTACGAAATGAATTATTTTCTGATAGGGGCCCAACTTTATGTATTATTTTTTTTTTTAAAAAAAAAAGAAAGAAAGAAAACCATCTAGGGGTATACAACTAAACATAGTGTCAAAATTTGAGACTTATGAGTTGAAAAGAATTCACAATTGTCTATCCATTTAACCCAACATACACATTATTGAAATAGTTCACTTACAAGATAAAAAAGAATGTATAACGTAAGCCTCTTTAAATAAATAACACAAACTAACAATTTCCTTTGTTTTGTTCTTTCTTTCCTCTAAAGGACAGGTAAATTAAAGAAATAAATAAAATAACGTACTAACCTAGTACTTAAGCATTTAATAATCCTATAGACATAGATTAGAATTATCATATTTTTGGCTTCAATTCTCTAGCGGTGAGAGAAATGTTATTCCCATCTTCTGCTGGTTTAGCAGCAACAACGCATTTTCTGTTAACCATGATGTTGCTTTCCGTGGTGGCATTTCTCATCATGGCATTGCCATTAGACGGCATCTGATGAATCCCATTTCTCTTCCGGTCGTCATCGGAAAGTGGTGCCGATGATGATGACGGTGACGGGGTTTCTTTTTCCTTTCCATTTCCCGTGGATTCAGCGGAAGCAAGACCAACAGGCATGAGGCAAAGCCCTTTGGTTTGGACATATTGCATGGCTTTTGTCACATTGGATTCCATCAGCTTCACTAGCTCTCTCTCGAACGCGATTTCGTGGGAAGGGAAAACAATGTCAGCTACTTGACCGGATGATGGTGAGAGTAGCTCTCCGTTACCACCCTAACATTGTAAAACAAATCATCTCATTATAAGAACTAACAAAATAGAAGGGAAAAGAAATTACACTTAAAAGACCATCTTTAATGCAAATGTCAAGCTATATTTGACCACAAAATGTGTGAAATTAGGTATTTGATATGTGATATTTAATTGTGCTCCAATACATACTGCTATTTTAAATATTAAATCTACCCCGTGTTAATTTTTAAGGTTTGAAAGTTATAAAAGTAAAATTTTAATTTTAAATAATTTAAAAAATGAACAAGTAAACATATCAAATAATAGCAAACAAATGACAAAATTTAGCTTATGCTATACTTGATGGTAAATTTGTCACCAAATATTATAACATATGTTAAATTTAACACCAAAAATAGTATTATATTAGAGAGTGATTTTCCTATCTAAATGCTAAAATTTGGCATTAACACACTAATTTAGCATTGGATTGGAGATTCTCTAATGAGTTATGTTCGAAGGTAAATATAGTGTTCTAGTCCATCTTCATAATAATGAAATTTCTGTAACCGAAGATATATGGAGAGAGAGCATCTTCATAATAATGTAATTTCTGTAACCGAAGATATATGGAGAGAGAGAGAGAGAGAGAGAGAGAGGAAGCTATATTATATTACCTCAACAGCGTCACCTGCTCCAAGGCTGCTCGTGCTAATTAGAGCCTGCCAAAATTTTCCCTCATGAGCAACAAAATCTTTGAAACATAGCACTAGTTTTCAAAACTTCACTAATTACTAGTTCTTTTCGAGTCGATCATCCAAAATTTTCATACAACGGTCAATTCCATTTTTGTCTCGTGGAAAGAAGAAAGAAGATAATAGTTAATGTTTTCGGAGCGCCCTAGAATCTTTTGATTAGAAGTACTTTTAACATACCTTCACTTGAAGCTGAAGAAATTTCACATATTCAATGATCTCATCAAGCATGGATGCCTTGTCAGTCTACAAAACGAAAAGATGATACATGACAGTAAAATGTGTATTATAATCGATATGTGAGATGAAAATACATGGTACGAGATAACCAAAAGAAAATCATACCTTATTGGGATTTGGTAGAAGTTCTTGCAGGTTTTTCATCCGATCAGCGATTTTTTCTCTCCGAAGCTGCGAATGAGGATTAACAAGAAAAGCAGTTAAACCCCACGAAAATCTCAACTTACCTTTTTGACAAAGTAAACTTCAAAATTTCTACTTAATTAGATGATTGATTCAACTAACCCTTTCAGCAATACTGTGCGGATCGGTGGCCTGCCCTCGCCGTGCCCTGACACGGGGCTTTCCATTTCCATTAGATTCACCAGGAGGAGTATTAGATGTGACCTATAATAGCAAATACACAAGCCTTCTTTAGAATTCTTGATAAGATTTCCTACTCTAATTTTTTTAAAACTTAAATTAACTGCCAATTTAAGAGTCTACAGGCAAAAAGTGTGAGATTTTACAAGCACCTGTGATAGAGACTGCAAGCCAGGCGCCATAGTCCTTGTAATCTGGGGACCAGACGCTAAAGAAGATAAAGGATTATTTAGCAGGTCATATGTACCCTGTGTTTCATATTAAACAAAAATGTAATATCATTATATACGTACACATTATAAATATCATGTGTATATATACACACACACAATAAATTCAGCAAGGAATTCAACAAAGACTAGTATTACATTTGAAGAGAGTGAAGAAGACAAGTTGGTTGAACGGCTTTCCATGGAATAGAAATCATTATCAACATATTCTCCTCCTTGGAGACCAAAACCTCCAATTCTATGTTGCCCCATACCAGGAGACAATGAAGAAACACCCTCAAAAGGTGGAAGAGGACTCAAATGCGGAATCGGAAAAAGGGTTTGAAAATCTGCATCGAAACTCTGAAAATCAGATAGTTCAAGAGCATTGCCTTGCATATGTCCAACCTCGGGGAAGGGAAGAGAAGAGCTCGAAATATTGCCATTTGAGGGAATGGCCATATCATATTGGCCATCTGCAAGATTTGTAAGTCCTGATGCACCGTCATTTACCATTCCATTGGAAGGGTTTCCAAAGAAGTGGTTTTGATCATCTTCTGAATGCAAACCTATGTTGATCCCATAATCCGACTCCGAACCAAGAACAACCGATGACGCATCTTGAGGAGCTAAACTCTGATTACTTCCATTTGAATTGACCATACTTGTGTGTGAATTATTGTTGAAATCTCCAACTGAACTGAGAAACAACCCATTTGGTTGACCCGATTCGCTACCTAATCCGGATGATCTTTCCTTCAGATCTATATCTGACCACATTGGGGAAGAGAAGAATTGATCTAAATATTCATATTCCTCCATCACTAGAAAGTGAAAGATTTAGTGGGCTCAACTTTTGAACAGCAAGAATTTTCTCTGTGAGTAATCTATAAGATGAACTTCTGCTGATATTCTCCTAGAGTATACCTATAGTTTGAAAAAGAATAAAAAATGGAGACATAATTAGCCAAATAATTAATCATATTTCAAATGCTTAAATTAACATAACGGGATTCTCTTAGCTCAAGATATGATGTGTTTAGAACTACAATTTCTAAATCAAAAACCACCTTGTGCACATATTTCAACACCCATAAGTATCAACCTTTTGGTTTTCCAAAAGCTAAACCTATGGCTACTTAATAATAATTATTATTATTATTATTATAATTACAATAATAATAACAATAATTGGATATTATTGAAAGGGCAAAAAAAAAAAAAAAAAAGGGGGATTGCTTCTCAGAATGATTCCACAAGCAGTGTTGACACGAAGGATGATGAAATTCAAAGGCTGGCCTGAATATAACCACTTGAAAATGTGATTTGAGACATGAAATTTTAAATGTATAATTGTACCATCATATGGCGCCATGAAAGACTTTGCAATGAAGGTAACAATTTATTTAAGGCAAATCATCTCATAAAGACACAAGTGAGAGCCAGTTAACAACCAAAAACCCAAAAATTAAACAAAATACTTCCTGAAATTCGTCGGAAACACAATCACAAAACTATTTAAAATTCAAACAAAGATGTTTAAAATATAAAAATTATAATTAATTAACAAAGACTAATATTATCATGAATTCTATAAAAAAAAAAAAAAGAATTACCTGAATCGGTGACTAATTGAGATTAATAAAAATCCAACTCAGATTTTTAGGCCTCTAAAAAATATAAAAAAATAAAACTCAGATTTTTAGGACTAAAAATATAGGGCTTCTATAAAAAGAGATTTCATTATAATAAGAATTGAAATCAAGAAGGAAAAAAATACCAATTCAACAAGGAAATTTGAAATCAAGATTATTCGAGAGAGAAAACACTAACTCAAAAATTTTAAGAATTTGTCCTTGCTCCAAAAAGTTACACAATGGAAACCTCGATGATGAAGTGATAAAAGTATTTTAGTCGCTTGTTTCTTCTGTAACTTAGACATAGTCAAAAAGTGAGCTGTCTAGGTTGTGTTCCTTAATTATAGCTAATTTAGTTGTGGTTTAATTTGTGGTAACGTAAACTTTGTGCCCACAATCTATTTGTTGCATTGTTTGTTAGTTATTCCTATTTTTTAGCGCTTTTTTTTTTTTTTGGGAAAGACTATATTTTTTAGCTCTTGAACGCTAGAGTCTATTGTAATATTTTCTTAAGCTAACTAATTAGCAATCTTTTTTTAATTTTCTTGTAATATTTTCTTAAGCTAACTATGAGGTGTAACAATATGGGGCCAAAAAGAGAGAGAGATGAAGGCAGAAGAAAAGGAAAAAAAAAAAAAAAAATTGAGAGTGAGAGAGAGGAGGAAAAATTAAGAGAGAAAATTTCATTTTGATACCCTCTGTTATATCAAAATTAATGAAATTTTCTCAAATTAAGGGACCAAAATACAATTTCTATTTTTAGAAATATTTAAATTTTGCTAAAGAAGTTTTAATGCACCAAAAACACCAACTAACTAACATAAAGATCTGAATTTTATAATAGATATTAGTAACACCAATTTGGATAACTACCAAAAAAAATAGTCAACAATCAACATAAACTCCGAATGCCACAAAGAGGAAACTTCTCTGGTAGCAAATCCCAATCTTATCTTGATCTTAATTTTGACATTTCATCCCACTTTCAATCCGCCCCAACGGAAGCTTTGCAACTTCACCAATCCCGACAATAGAAAGCCCGCTTTCCGGTGAACTTGGAGACTAAAATAAATTTAAACATCATGCCCGACGACGCATCCAGAGGTCATCATGAAGCTCCGGTTTGCCCACTCCCAACTCAATTTGTATGATGGATTCAATTTTGGCTAATAAATATTCCTACCAATTTCTATAAGTAACACCGTCTATAATACAAATACTTATGCCAACGTTATATTTGGTACTAAAAAGTGTAAAAATACACTATTAATATGGTATTTTAATTTATGCTCTAATACTTAATACCATTTTAAATGTTAAATTTCCTCTTTGTTATGATCTAAAGGTGAAAGTTTGAGCCGGATCAAATAGACAAGGTCATACACTGTTGGCTCAATCCTGATCTCAGCCCGGCATGCTTAAGTGTTCGGGCTGAGCCATGCCAAGATTTTGAGCTCGAAACCTTATTTTGGCCGGCTTGGTCCGGCCCAAACACCTTTTAAAAAAAATTGCTTAAAAATACCTTATAAATTACGAATCGAAGCTTTAAGGCCAGACTGGACCAACTCTCATCGCTTTAGAGTCGGTCCAATCGTTGGGTCATTAACTTTAAAAGTTATAAAAGTAAACTTTTTTATATTTATAATAATTTGAAAATACAAATGTTGTAATGATTAAATGAAAATATAATTACAACAATTAATAGTAATTAAATGTCAATTTGGCATACACTATACTTGGTGGTGAACTTGGCACTAAGGGGGCGTTTGGTATGCGGGAATCAGTAGGAATCATATTCCCAAGAAAGTGATGGAGGGTAATATGATTCCTATGAATAATACATTACTGTGTTTGGTACCATACAAGAATCTTTTTCAAATTCTCAGGAATATTACATTATTGTGTTTGGTTGTTCGCATGGAAGAAGATCCATAATAATAATAATAATAATAATAATAATAATGATAATGATAATGATAATGATAATAATAATAATAATGATAATAATAATGATGATAATAATGATAATGATAATAATAATATTAATATTAATATTAATAATAAATATAATAATAATAATAATTTTTGCAATTAATAGTAATAATAATAATAAGATGTCATGGGTTTTTATAATAATAATAATTATTATTATTATTATTCATTTAAAAAAATATTTTTTAATTCACAACATTCCTATGCACAACCAAATACAGTAATGTAATATTCTTAAGAATTTGAGAAAGATTTCTGTATGGAACCAAACACAATAATGTATTATTCCTAGAAATCATATTATCCTCTATCACTTTCTTGAGAATATGATTCCTTATGATTACCCCATACCAAACGCCCCCTTTGAGATTTCTGAGAATTCGAATAACACTATATTGGGTGGTATTCAAATTACATTAAAATGAGAGAAAGTGAATCCCATGGTAATCACTTTCTTGGGAATCTAAAAATTATAATTATTGTACCAAACATGATAATATTGCAGATTCTCATTCTCACCCTTAAGATTACTGCATACCAAACGCCCCCAAGAGATTGCATTGAAGAGAAAGTTTCCCACTCCAAAGCTAAAATTTAGGACAATTTAATTAGACATTTCATTGGAAATGCTCTAAACTTTACCATAATGCATAATTTTTATTTGTACTCCAATATATAATGCTATTTTAAATGTTAAATTTACTTTGTATTAAAATGATTAAGATTTAAAAGTTGTATAACTAAACTTTTATTTTTCAAATAATTTGAATACCAATACTGTAATGATTAAATAAAAAAAATAAATACATCAATTAATAATAATTAAAGGTCAATTTAACACCCGGTACACTTAGTATAAATTTAGTATTAAGAATAGCATTGCATTGAAGATTAAATGCTAAAATTTTTAAGATAAATTAATTAAATATTACATCAGAGATGCTAAACTTTTGTTTTTATTATTTAGTAGAGAGGTGCTTTTAACCTTAGCATAGAGGGTGGGAAACGATAAACCCGTGAATATGAGCAGTTGGAGCAATTGGAAATTGCATCACATGTTGTTGAATGTTATTCTAGTCTTTTGACTAACAATAATCTCTAGGCTCGTGTGAGATTATAGAGACAACGGATCCATAATCTAAGCCCTCGTTTACTTCACGGATTCGAGTTTTTAATTTGAACTGAGATGTGACATTTTTTTAGAGCTTTTCACTGTAGCAGAAAAAGTTAGACGTGATATTTTCTGAGAACTTTTTACTGTAAAAACCTAAAATTGAAAACTCGAATCAGTGAAATGAACGAGACATAAGATTACTTTTATACACTTTGTTATATCTATTATCTATTATTTTGGAAGTACTTTTGCCACCAAACAATGACGGAGAATGTTATCGCCTACACTTACTACAATAGTGAGGGCCATTGTTTTGTAAACTATTTCCGCAATTGTAGCAGAAAGCAACTCCACACCTGCAATAAGCAAAATGATACAAAATGTGAGATTAGTATCATAAAACAATATTAAACTATTGAATTCAATTATGCGGTTTGCAGATTGTTAAATAGAAATATAAGATGCAAATCCATATGCACATTTTTACTTCTTCTTTTTTTTGTGACATTTGCTTTATAGGCATCCACATACATGAAAAACAACTTTTTAACTAGAAAAGGAAAAATTGGTTTCAAGTACTCAAGATAAAAGATGATGATGCATCAACAGAAAAAAAAAATGTTTAGACAATGTAAACATACAAGTGATGTTTGTAACAAAGTCATTTGAGAAACAAGAAGCTGGAATAGCTCAGTTGGCTAGAGCGTGTGGCTGTTAACCACAAGGTCGGAGGTTCAAGCCCTCCTTCTAGCGCATTTCTAATAGGATATTTCAATAATTTTTTACTAGTCATCATAAGAGATGAATATACTTAATAAACTTTTTTGGGGGGTCAGAATCTTATTTGACTTTGCTGCAGAAAAAATAAATATAATGAGTCGGAAGTGTGGTCCAAGTGACAAATGTGCTCTCAATTATTCACATTGTGCTCAAGTTAACAATAAATTATCCACATTGTACGTTATTGATGATAACATAAGGTATCAAATTCAAAAACCATGTTTATCAATTGTGAAAAGAGTTCACTCCCTGATGTTCCCACAGATTTGATATGTTGAAAGTTCAGGCTATTGCTGCCACATTTTAAATGACCCGCCAAATAAAATCCCCATATGGAATGACACTTTTCATATGCCATTATAGCAAAGACAAAAAAAAGGCTCCAAAATTTGGTTCTTATTCAAGAGAATAACCCCACCCAAACCCCATCCTCTCCTTCCAGCTTGTAATGGCCTGCCTATGGCACTAATACCGATAATGACCAAACTTTCTTCCTATACCATGTTTGAAGAACTAACTACTATTTTTAAGACCATTATACTTTCTTTAATCATGAAATTTCCAACTGGTCTCTAGTGCCTTAAGTCACCAATTTTAAGCAAAACCCAAAGGCTTAAAATGCTCCCATCTCCCTAAGTTTGGACACGAAGCATTAACCAAAGACTCTATGAACCTCAAACGAGACGCATAATCAAACTAACTATCCAGCTAACTAACTGACTAACTGACTAACTAACTGACTAACCTGCATCTCATAAACAAGCAACCCTCGGACCTCTCGACGTAGAACCTGCAACTGGGGCACCTCCTCCAGAGCTTGCTCGTCGCAAGGTTCATCAACATGATGTCCTCCTTCTCCCTCTCGTCCTTGTTCAGCTTCCGAAACTCCTCGCACGAAATCCCCTCGTGCCACGAAACCTTACACTCCGCGCAGAACATTCTGTAACAATTCGGGCACTCCGATTGCGTCACGGCCTCTCCTCCATCATTAATCAACATCACAGAGCAATCCTTGTACGGACAGTAGAACTTTTCCGACGCGAGAAAAAAAGCCTCGCACAGCGCGAATCCCCACCGGTCGAAAACCTCCGCCGGGAGTATGGAACGGCAATGCTCGGGCTCCAACCACCCGTCGCAGCCGGAAACAGGGCAGTTTATTGCGGTGACGTTGTCTTGGAGCTTGGAAGCGACGTATTTGAAAACGCAGTCCGTACAGTAGGAGTGGGAGCAGCCCTTGATGGAGAAGGACTCGTTTGACGATTTGGGTTCGATGCAGATTTCGCAGACGAAAGACGGGTCGTTCTTGGAATTCGAAGATTGCCCCATTTCGAACCTCGGGGTCTCGTTCTTGGAGGTTTCTTGCGAGTCGAACCAGAGGAGTTGGTTTTCGGCACTTTCTTCCGAAAGGTCAATGAAATTGGGGCTATTGGTAGCGAGAGAAGCCATGATCGCGAGATGAAGGTCTCGTTCCTCGAGGTACTGTTCGACGGAGATTGGGTCGGACTTGTTGATGCCCTTTTTGGAGAATCTTTTCCTCATCTTCTTACCATCGTCATCGTCGTTTTCTTCTTCGGCTTCAAGATCGATGATCTCGTGGACTTGTTGGTCCTCCATTTTGGGTTTTTTTCTTCCTCTTCCTCCTCTCTCGCTGCTGCTGATTTCTTCTGCAGCTTTCGCTACTTCAATTGTTGGTGTCAGACTCATGGTGATCAAAACGAAGAGGAAGAGTTTTACGAGTCGTGTCTTTTGTTCTTCTCCGATTTCAGTTTCATGTGTTGTTGAAAAGACGAACGAATTAACCGAGTCTTGTGATTATGGACTCTTGGGTTGGTTTAGGGATTGGATTAAACAGTGTTGCCGTAACCTATAAGCGTTTTGCCAGTACAAGCTTTACCTTTTCGTTTTTTTTAATATATATATCGTGCCTTTTCTAGAATAATTATGCAGAAAAAGACAAAATTATCCAATATCTTTCCTTGTTAATGACAATGCTAAATCATCAAAAACATTTTGGTCATAATCAAGTTGACTTTCTGCTCTTTCAGTTTTAGTCCCCAGTTTCCACATTACAAGATACTTTTCTCAAAAGTGCAAAAAAAAAAAAAAATTTAAAAAATTAAAAAATTAAGATAGGTTTTTATAGGTTGCTTTCATTTTTTATTTTTTTAGAACTATTTTGAAAAATATTTAACTCCCTTAGAATATATATTTAAGTCGTGATTTGAGTTTATTAACAGAAATTTTGTGAAAAATAGATAATTTTTAAAAATATTCCTTGAACCTAAATTTGTCCCAAATAAACCCTTAGCTTCCTAAAAGCTTCTCAAAAAAGGAAAACTTGTATTTAAGGCAATTTCGATCAGATTTATAAACTTAATTAGAAAATCTAAAAAAATCATTCTAAAGTGTAACACATTAAAAGTTCTTTTAAAATTGTAATTTCACATCATTGTGCGCTCGCCTTTTCCTTTTTTTTTTTTTTTATTGTTTTTGGCTAAAGCGGTTCCTTAACTACTCAAGCAGACTAGTGAAGAAAAAAATGGACGGCCAAGGAAGATGATTAGAAAAATGGGGCTGGAAAACTAAATACTAGACCCTAGCTAGAGTAACGCAGACATAAATACAAAACACGAAATGACATTAATATGATCGGTTTAATCATTTATCCAGAAGACAAACCTTATTGTTCTAATATGTACGAATGTGCGTCCATAAAATGCAATAAAACTAGACTGGATCTGCGTTTTCCCTTCAAACTGATAAATATTAACAAACATGAATGAACTTGTATTTTGTACTGTACAATTATAAAATCAAACACTAGAAATTCACATTTGAAACAGCATTGCATGCAGCTGAACCGAGGAAGACGGGGAGTAGTCTTTAAGACGCTTCAGGTGCAACAGAGAGATGCTACTATATACAAAGAGGGCAACGGAAACTAATGCCGTAAACTGGCATATAGATCTTCAAGAGCAGCATACAAGGGCCCAGCAGCCTTTGGCCTTTCCACTGTCCCAAGTAGTATATCGGTCGTGGTGAGGTAAGGATCACCATAGAATCGTAGATTAGCATCCATCCTCGTCGCGACAATGTTCCCTTCCAACGAGACTCCCACAAATGCACCTGTCAAAAACGGCCATATAGTTTCAACTCTTCAAAAATTCCCACCATATTACGAAGGTTTCCAACTCAGTCATTGTGTAAAACATCTTGGCATGATATGAAAAAGAAAGCATAAATGCAAATAAGAGGCTGCTAAATCAAAGCTAAATAGAAGATAAGGTGAAGCAAAGCTCTCTCATCTCACGAAATACACGAAACTGGAAGAGAGACCCCAGCAATATCTGATTTAAAATAAAAATAGAATACCTTTGCTACAACTGTAAGTGTAGCACATTCCTGAACCTCTATCTCCGGCACGAAGATCTGCTTCCACCACTCTTCCAATAGGTCCTGCAGCAGCACTGCATCCCGCACCAAGGGAGAAATGCATGCGACTACAAAAAGTCTTCACAGCTTCCGAATTATGAAGAACAATGATGAAGTCCATAAGTTCACCTCCAATCTTGAATAAACAATGGCAATAAGAAAGGAAAAAAAAAAATCAATAACCTCAAGAGAAGCACTGAAACTGGATCCAATGATAAAAGATTAGTGAACTAATTTGAGGAATTTCTTTCTCTCTTTCTTTCAACTTTGATTATCATTCAGCTGTAACCAATTGCAAGTTTTACCTGAGCACCCCATCCTAAGCCAATAGACGATATGGCTGACGGTGCAGACCATGATCCATCTGCCCTTCTAGCGATGACCAAACCAGTGCCAAGTTTGTAAGCAACAACAACACCAGCTTTGACAACCGTTAGAATTGCCAGGCCTCTGGCTCCTTTTAAAACTGCTGATGGTATGGACCTCTCAGAATTCAGTCTAGAAATCTGCCAATTAAACGTGATACTTTAAAAGGTTAGAAAATTTCCTTAAAAAAAAAGTTAGAAAATGACCATGGACTCAGGTCTACACAATGATACTTCCTTTTTTTTCACCCCAACTTCTGCTATTTAATAAGCATATAAAAGAAGACAGTAAGACAGACACAATTATGAGGTGAACTCATCATATCATAAAAGAGGAGACTTGTCCCCTCGCCTGTTTCGCTAACAACTCATCTTAAGAAAAACTTTGGATTAAGATTCCGAGCTGGACCTGGCAGTAAGTTCTCAGTGTATTGGATGCTTTGTATATCTCATGTTCCATGGACAAACCAACAGGAAGATTCAGCCAACCTCTTGTACACGTCCAATCCATCACATCATGCTTCGCAACTTGCGCAGCATTGCTAACACTGTTAATAAGAATGCTCTGTAGAGGATCAAGCCTGTCATAACAAGCATCACAAACCCTCTGAGGATTCCTCTCCCTAAACTTGATGGGCATCAAGCACCTTCCTTTAGAACATGATCTGCAGAAGATGCCCCCACAGAACCGACAATGGTGCCTTCCACGAGTAATCACCGTGAAAGGAGCAGTGCACTGCATGCAAACCGTGGTAGCACTATCAGGAAGCCACTCAGGGGGTTCGGCCTCCAACACCTCTTTGTAAGCACTATAATTTATTCCGCTGGCCTCGAGAAGGGGCGGAGCACTAGGTATGTAAACTGATGAGTGTAAGCAGGTTTCTCCATTCTTGCTAGAGCCAAGAAACGAAACATTAGAACAGGGTAACAACTTGTTCGCAAGAACGGTTGCAGATTTATTTTGCCCAGTTATAATGGCAAATATCCCATTAAGCACATTCTTCAAGTTCACCTCCGGGGGCATATTAGCAGGCGCGAAGTTACCGGAATCCTCACTTGAATCAAACACATCGTCAATAAAATCTTCAGATTCGTGAGGAAGTTGGTACGAATACTCTTGGTTCGACGGCTTCAAAACTGATGGATAAGAAACACGGCCTTCCGCCACAGCCCATCCACCCTCACTGGAGTCATCATCAAAATGGGATTCGGTGTTCTCTTTTTCTAGCTTAGAAAGTGAAGAATATGTAACTCTCCCCTCAAAGCTCGCCATGGATTACGGACACAATTAATGATAAAAATCACCAGGGGATAAACCTGCCACTTGGAATCAATACCTCAAAATTAGTATAGATCAGGATTCAGAATTGGCATTTACTTCGCACAAAAAGATATAAACCAAATAAATAAAAATGCTAAAAAGTTTAAACCTTAAAGAACAAAACCAACCAAAATTGACTATATTGAACCCCCAACCCAAAATTCACCAACAATCAGAAATTTCATTAAAGACTGATAGGGCAAAAATCAGGCAAAACAGCATTCTTTTTTTTTTCTTTTTTGAGAAGAAAAAAATCAGAAATTTCCATGAGATGAGACTCAAACCGAGAGGATCCAATTAGTGATTAAAGGCAATGTTCATTAGAACCGTACGGAATCACTTCCAATCAAGGGAGATAGGAGATATCACTCAGCACCAAACAAGAGTTGAACACAACCTTGAAGATAAAGTAAAGGATTGAAAGGTAAAGTAGCATATATATTTTCCATAGGCAGGCAGAAGAGAAGACAAAATTGATTAGACAGACAGAAAAACCACCACAAAGGTTATAAGAAAACAGTTACAAAGGATTCAAATATGGAATAATTAAGGTTACATAATAATACACCTAAAAAGAGAGAATTTGTTAGATTTCCTAAACAAACATATTGAAAGTTTCAATAGAAAACGGCTACAAAGGATTCAAATATGGAAGAATTAAGGTTACGTAACAATACACCTAAAAAGAGAGAATTTGTTAGATTTCCCAAACGAACATATTGATCTTTTAAAACTCAGGAACGCAGGGACCAGAATGAGAGCAATCGAAGGTGACGTTACTTCCTCGGGGGTTTCTTTGAAACTCAGCAGAAATCTACCCTCCATTCCTCCGATTTCATTTGTGCGAATTAGGGCATGAACGGAAAGTATTATTCCGAGATTAAAGACGATAACTTTACCAGATTCTTAGACGAGAGCAGCGAAATCGAAGAAAATTAAATGTAATGCGAACCTTTGTTGTTGTGTTTCTGAGTTTGGCTGTAAATGTAATGGGAACCCTAGGAAAACGCCAAGCGGGAGTTAAGTCTCAAACAAAATCCCCACATCCTGGGAAAACAGCATTTCACCTCTAACAAAACTTATAATTTTCCATTCAAGTATATTCTCCAAAACTATTTCAATACCATAAATTTTTTTTTCCCTAATTCAAAAATAATGGAATCTTCGACCGATAAATATATGAATGCAATATGCTCCGATGGAGTAATCCATAAAGGCCCAAACGAATTGCCGAATTAAAAATCGTCCAATTTTCTTATTATTAGGGTTTCAAAAACGCCAACATAAATTCTAGGAGGGACGAAAACAAGCACATACGAAATTCAAAATTCACGCAAGAAAATGAAGGATTGGAAATACCGATTCGTCATGCGAGCTGCTATATTGCTGAATTTGGTTTTTAGGGCTTCGAAATCGAATCAATCACCGCTGCACAGAGACGACGGAGAAAAGAAGAAGAAAACTTGGAAGCTTAAAAACCGGATTTTTGGACTCTTATTTGGTTTCCGCGGTAGTGCGTCCGAGGTTTTCCCAACTTTCAAGAAAAGTCATACGGGCTTTATATTCAGTCCACGTGGACCTCCAAAGTGTGACTGTTGGGTCCATTAAAACTGGGGCCCAAGTCCAACTTCTTGGCCCACTATTTGGGCCGAATTGATACAATCTATGAACCTGTTGGTCTTCTTCTCTTTGCAACTCTAGATAATTAACACTTAATTAATGTGAAATAAATATGGCTCTCTGTGTTATCTTGCAAACTTTAGGCTAATAGTAAGTATTAACCATTTGCCACCAATAGTATGGCACGGCAGTAAAAGAAGTTCAATTCTTAAATATAAATAATTGTGATAATTACGATACATGGCAAAATTTCATACATTGAGTTTAAATTTATTAAAATATTATAAATATAGCAAAAATGACAGTAATTATCATAATGAAATCATATTTTATACTATGTAATGATATAGTCATTATTTTAATGACATAAAAATAATATAAAATTTTACTATTCTTGTAATATTTCAAAATTTTTGCTAATTTAAATTTTGATATCAAAATTTTGTTATGTGTAAATCACCCTTCTTAATTAGCTAAACGAATGAGATTATATGTGGTGGCACAACGACAAAAGACGACTATGACTGCGCTATGATTCAATTCTTAATTTCTAAACTAGTGAGATTATGGACGCGCTTAGAACTCGTTTCAAAATGATTTTATTTTTTGTATGAAAATGAAAATGAAAATATTTTTAATTTCAGACAGAAATTATTTTTAAAATTGCGTTTGGTAGTTTTATCAAAAAGATTGTTTTCAGTATAAAAAAAACCCATTAATGTCTCTCTCTCGCTGCTCGAGAGAGGAAAAAACGAAAATAAAAAATGAAATTTTTTATTTCTCTCATTTTACACTAAACCAAAAAATCGTTTTCATTTCTATTCTTTGTTTTTATTGCGCCAAACGCCGTTTTAAAAACGTTTTTATTATTTTTTTTTAAAACGTGAAAAATAAAAATGGAATCAATTCCAAACATGACATATATGTTTGGCAACCTCTGAAAATTATTAATGAAGGAGCGTGAACTGACTTCCTTCTCCTTCCACTTAAAATACTTTGAATTTTGACGACCCTAGTGGAAAAAGGAACAAACAAGAAAGAGGTTACAAAATTAAAATCTTGGATTGATTAGGATCTTAATGCTTTGTGTGGCCGCTACCTTTCAAAACTCTTGATCTCAATTCTCACCTAAAGTTTAATGACGCCCATTCTTATACATTCTTGATTCGCCTAAAAAAGTTTCACGTATAGCACTAGTGTTTTCCAAGCCTAATTCCAGTACGATTTCATACAGTTGAACCAAAAATAGCACGTTTTCACCATTCACTGCTTTATCAAGAAGACGTACTTGTATTGAACTTTAATCTTGTTTTCAAATTAGAGCCTTATCAATCTAAAAGATACAACGTTCAGCAATAATAATAGTAATAATGAAGATGATGAAGATGAAAGATACAATCGATAAAATGTTACACTAGCTATCCTAGGAGCTGCCAACTTCATACACGAAGCTTTTTCCCTGGTTGTAAATCATCATCATAATGTCCACCCTCATCATTCGTCTCCTTTTCCATCTTCTTTCTGGAAAGTATCTTGTTGATCTTGTGAAGCTCATTATTGAGCTTCTGGTCTTTGTTCTGCTTTCGTGTCTTCCGACCGTCCTGCATCTTCACACCAAACTGGAACGCAGCCTTCGGCATTGCTTCCTTCTGCTCGTTGTATGTGGCCCACTCTTCTTCTGTCTCAAAGTCCCACCGGTGAAGCCGACCTTTTGCCTGTTGGATAATGTATTATCAGTTAAGGTTTGTCAACAGTTGCATGCTATTGTTGATGGTATTATTGTATATAGTAAGCTTACTTCTGTTCGCAAACAAAAAAAAAAAAAAAAAAAATGAAAGAACATTATTTGTCTTGAGAACACTTACCCTTCCTCCCATGTCCATTTTCGATAAGTCATCCTCGTCATCACTGTCCACGACCTCCCGGTTATACTCCTGGTACCCAGGGTAACATTCAGAATAACTTTCAGAAATAAAATTGGGATCCTTTTCTCGAGCATCTCTCTCCCTCAATTGTTGGAGTCTTTGATCATCTCGCTTAAACACAGATCCTAAACCTCGATCCTTTTCTTCTTGGGTCATAAAGCGTGGATCTTGCTGAATCTCGTTTAATCCGGCTTGAACATCATAAGCCTGCATGTTTTGCTGGAGGTACTGGTCGGGATAAGCCAGTTGTTCAGCATATTGGTACTCCTGCCAATCTCCCTGGTAGGCGCCAGCCAAGGCTTGAGTTTGCATCACATCATATCCATTCTAAAACCAAATAATAAAGCATAAAAGTCAGCAAACATTTATTTAAATGTCTAATTCATCCTTGTACTTATGCATCAAAGTTCAAGAATTATCAGACATACTGCTTCTTGCCATTCTTGAGGTAACACAGGCGGTGGGACTGGACCATAAGCAGGTTCTGCAAAATACGCAACTTTCTCCTTATTTCGAGGAGACTCTTCCATGTCCTCTGAAAGAGGGCTTTGGCTCATGTCTTTACCGGGAACGTCATAGTCCACACCCTCCCCAACAAAGATGTCATCTTCTTCTACTCTAGCAGCAATTGGGCCCTGCTTCTCTCTCGAATCGGTATTATTTTTCTTGGGAGGAGGGGGAGGTGGTGGCATAGTATCTCGTTCAGGTTGATTCTTTAACATCCCACCATTAGGCTTTGAGGGTTTGTCCTCTTTGTCATAGTCATTACCAAGGACAGAAATCTTTCCTACAATTGAAAATGAAAACAAAAAAAGAAATGTATATATTTGTCACACCGCTAAACAAAAAATGTAATTACAAAAAGGTTGTAATGAAAGCTGAAAACAGATTCCAGATGTTCTGTACCAATTTTATCCCATAGGAAATGGTATTTAAAAAACTTCCAGGCATAACTATAGCAACTCTTCACAGTACAATATTTTCTTCATGGACTACAATTTAAAATGACTGAAAACCTATGTTATAAATTTGGGTTTACATAAGTAAAAACAAGAGAATAATTTCATACAATCAGTTCTATAATAGATATTGTCATCAAACAAATGCAAATGCATGGCAACGCCCAGAAACTTCTAGCTAGCAGTTGGTCACAGAAATTACCTTTTGTTTCTCTATCCTTCTTTTTCTTTTTCAGAACCTTCCCTGAAGATCCAAGACGCAGATATGACATAATTTTAGCAATCCGATCAAGCACAGAACCATCAACACTGACAGTAACCATTTCCTGGACAAAATACAAGCCACTCAGATCAAAGGTTCATCACTGAAAAGAAATTGGACGTAGAATCAACAACTTTAAATCTCAGCACCTCAGGCTGTGGACAGTCAGCTTTACTCCTGTGCAGGGTAGTTGGAATGTCATGTGAATATCCATTTTCCTGATATGACCCCCAAAAAAAAAAAAAAAAAGGTATCAGCAAATTGGACCTTTAGAATCACGTTTATAGCAGTATACGTTTTCACAGACCCATATCACTTTTTTTTTTTAGTCGAAGGCCCGTATTGATATCAGTTTCCATAGTGGAACTTCTATACAAGTTTAGGTGATACATAAAATACACAGTGGAAAGCCAAAAAGAACAAAAGCAGGAAATTTACCATGTCAAAAATAAATGACATTCGACCAGGAAGGAACATCTCATTTGACTTTATGACTGTCTGAGGCTTCACTATCCATTGATAAACTGACTGAAGCACATAAATAAGACATCAGATATGCACTGTATGATCTCAAAAACACAAATGGCCATTTCTTTCCACACACAAAAATGAACCTTAGCAGTTGCAGTACGAAATGACACTTGTTGGTCTTCCTTAGATGGCCTGTCAAGGAACAGCAAGAACCTGTCAGTATTAGCCTCACAAAACAGCTATGAATCACCATATATAAGATTCGAGGATATTTTTGAAACAGAAAAGGTAATGACAATAGAAGGGGAAAAAAAAAAAAGGTCCCCTTTTATCAAAAGTACGAACGATAAGGAAAATACAACAAGGCAACAAGCATACTAGAACTCGCGTTGTTACAATGCGCGTATAAGATAGTACCAAATATACAAATATTACACACTAAATTTGGTCATGAACTAGCACAGCATTTCCTGTTGAAACAAATGAAATCAAGTTCCCTAACTTTTGGCCTCTATAAATGCAGAAAAATTCATGTCTACTTAAAAGCCATAGCCTTAAATGATGCAACAAAAAGACAGTAGTTACCTAGATTTCCCATCGTCTTCATCTCCGGCATCCGGTTTCTTGTCAATTTCACTTCGTACTTTGTTAAGTAAAGCATAATCCAAACCTTTGACCAAATGTGTGTGTTCCACATCCCCTGAGCAATATTGAGCCAACAATAGTTATTAAAAGGCTGTTAGACTAGAGCTATGTACCTCAAAAAAAAATATAGCCATGCACAATAACCAAAAGGGTACTCCAAAAACACATTCATTAGCAACAAATTCACAACAGATATTAAAAGCATTTAGACTAGAGCTAAGCACCACCAAATGATATATCCATGCACAAGAACCAAAAGGGTACTCAAAAAACACATTCATTAGCAACAAAGTCAAGGTCTCTTCAACTAAGCCAAAACTATGTAGTATGTATAGAATTATACACTTTGAATGCCAAAGGCAGTGCAAACAAACAAAAAAATATCAAAACATAAGATTCCGAATTGAAAAAATTCACAATAACACAAACCTCCGAGGTATTTGCTCTTCTCGATGGACAGTTTGTGTGCATCAGCTGACCTATAAATTCCAACACAAAACTAAATTCAACATAAATACATACATATATAGGCAAAATATTTGAATATATATATATAGGCAAAATTAGGGAGAAGTCTCACCTTAGGTCGACGTTCCCAGGCGGAGCAACGGCGTGAAGAGAACCCAATTCAGAAGCTTCATAATCGGGATTTTGATCCTCTCTACGCTCCTTAGCTCGGTCTCTATACTTTGGCGCTTCCGGTTGTTCTGCTTTCTCTTCTCTGCAATTCACACACAAATTTAAACTCTCAAAAAACAATTTTTTCCCATTAATCGCGTCCAGAACTCGACAGAATCAAAAAAATTTGCCGCCACAGCCAAAATTTTAGGATAAAATCGAAACGGTTAAGGTTTCATGTGAAATCAAATTTTCAGACAAAATGCTTGTTTGGTCGGAAAGAGAGTCTGAATTCCATGAAAACTCACTTGCGACGAACAACTTTCTCCTTGTAATGTTTCTTCGAAGAAGAAGTCATCGTTCGAGCTAGAATCTGGAAAAATAGGTTTTCTGACCGTTCTTGCTCTGGTTAGAGGTTAGAGTTTTGCAGCAATTGGGCGGAGAGAGAATTGGGATTTTGTCCTTTAAATTACGAATCTGCCCTCGGGTTTATATAAATGAGGCCCAATATAAGTTGGACTCATGGCAATGAGCATTCAATCGGTTAATTTGAGTAGAATAAGGCAATAAGCTATCTATGTACATTTTAAAAAAAAAAAAAATCAGAAATACCATTCAAAAATAATAAAAAAATGTTATCTATACCACTCAACTCAAAAATAAACAATTTCTATTTAATTAATCAAGAGAAAAAATATATAATTGTACCTAATTATTTTCAAAGGCATAAATAACAGGCCTTCATAAAAAAAAAAATTATTAAAGTGACTATCCATTAAAATAAAATTCACAAAATGACCTTGGCTTAATTTGGTAGTGCTGTAGAATTTAAAAAAATTACTTTTACTTGTGCTGAAAGAAAAAGCAACTGTTACAAAAAGCAGCTGAATATTTAGTAAACTATAATTATAGTAGTTGTGCTGGTTCTAAAATCAGTGTAATAACATTTGATAAATTATAAGGTTGAATTTTTGTATATAGTTAAAAATTACAACTATATTATATTATACTATAATATAATATATATATATATATAATTACAATATAATATATAATTATTATATTATAAATAATAAATATATTATAATTAATAGTCGTGTGTAATATACTATAATAGATAATAATATTGGAATTAAAAGAT